ACCACTGATTCAGAGTGCAGGAAAATATATAATTTTGGAAAGATGAAAAATGATATTGGAGGAGGACAATAGAATTAGAACCCTTGAAAATATCATAAATATAATCGAAATCGTAATTGATCAGTTGTTCAGATAATCAAAAACGCCTTAAATGACTTTCTTAAACAAAATCAGACAATATCGGATGAAGAATTTGCATTATGAATCTCATTGAATCTGACTGAATCAGGAATGCATATTATCATTTATAAATTTGATTTAAATTTGAAGGAATGAAAGGAAATGTGATAATTGCGATATCGCAGAAAGTTATGAAAAATGAGGAAAAACAATGAATGCAATTGATATTCCTCATTGCATGGAAGAAAGATTTGAAAAGAAAGTGAAAGAGAAGTAGAAAATATGAATGAATGACTGACTGACTGACTGATTGATATTACCGACAAATAACTTTAAAGTTTATCTTTCTTCTTTGCAGAAAAATTTAATTCCATTTTCTTTGAGTGTGGAACTCATCGAATTATTTCAGTGAAAGATTTTGAAAACTTTAAATTTCTGCTAGACTGTAAGGGTTGGAATTGAGAGAGAGAAATGCCATCTATTATTTGATTTCTTCCAATGATTATCTTAGTGCTGCCTAAATTGGATTTCAGAAAGATTAAAGTTGCTCATTAAATTTAATTCTGCAAATTAGAAATCTCGCGACAAATGAGTCCTGAAAAAACAATTGTTTTGCCCCCCGGCAACAATAATAGAGCTGTCAGACAAGAAGAAAGTAAATTACGAATAACCTAAATTTTGATTATCCATTTCACTGTTTACAGGTATCTAATTCTTTCTAATGTATTAACAATCACTTTGTTGATCTGATTAAAAGATTAAAATTTGAATTTCTGATATGTGTCATTTCTACATAAACCATTTGTAAGCTTAAAGACTGTATTCTGACACATTCTAATTCTTTAATTTGCATCTTTCGTCTTCTTTATTTGTTCTTTCTTTTTTGCATCAGTAAAGTAAGAATACTATAATCATCAAATTTAATCACTTTTAAGTAGGTTAAAGTAGACATACTATTATGCTTGCATATCTGCGTGCGCATCATCAGAACAACAAATTAATATTAACAAAAATCAATGTTCAAAATTGAAAAGAATGAGAGATGTCTTTTATACAGTAATTTGCAATAACAGGTCGACGGATGAATGACAAATGTCATTTTCGTTTTCCCGACAACTCTCGATGCTGATAATAACAAAGATTTCTCTAAAATGACCAATTCATTATCTCTTCAAGATAGTATTGCAACTACTGCAATATGTTGGCAATGATTATATTGATAACGATGATGATACGTGATACGTGATACGTGTTATCATCATATGATGTAACGTCAACTTGTGATAACGATAATGTTAGATCAGTGATGATCCGTTTGCATCGGTATTCTCGGCAAATTAGTCTACAAAATAATAAAATATTATAATAATTACTCAGATTGTGAATTTTGACCGAAAATAGATAGACGGAAGGGAAGAAAGGAAAAACAATTGTTGGATTCGTCCCCAATTATTTGATTATTTGATAGATTCTATCGATGATCACTTATCACTTCCTCACTGCAATCCTTCCCTCAACACAATATTTGCTCTATAATTTCTCTTTCTTACTTTTCTTTTCTTTCTTTTTTCTTTCGGAACAACAAATCACTGAAAAAAAAAAAAACTTCCATTCATATCAAATATAAAATAATTATTCGAGCAAAAAAAAAAAAAAAAACAGAAAAATGTGCAATACTATGGGTAAACTAAGAGAGAAGGAATGATTATCACAGATTAAATCTCTCATTGTTATCATATGCAAAATTATCTCCTTGTTTTTTTTTTATAGTAACTTATATTTTAATACTTTTAATTTCATGCCAGGAAAATAAAGTGAGCCAATATTTTAGTCAATTATAATTTGTAAAATGTGGCGATTAAAATAAAAGATGGCATAATGAATTTTTGAAATACTAAAGAAAATTTTAGGAAATACTTTATTGTTATTTATTTAAATCATTTCTTCAAATTATTCATTTATTTTTTTTATTTCTTTCTTTCTAACTTTGCCATGAACATGCTTTACTGAGAAAAAAAAAAAAACTTAAGCATCTACCTAAATAATTAGGGCACTAAATAAGGAAAGAATCTTTCTTGGCCATGAAATCATTACTGGCAAATGTATCATTTAATGCTCCAAAAGAAGTAACAAATTTCATTTCAAACGATAAAATTGATGTAAACACTGATAAATTACTCTATGCTTTCCTTACTTACTTACTTACTCTCTTCTGATGGCATTGCAAAAATCTCTTTGTGATTCTCAAATGACTTATTTCAGTGGCATTCTGTGTTTAACTTCATTACATCTCTTTAATTTATTCTTTCATACTTTGCTTGGCAGTGTGTTTTGGATGTCATAAAGCCATCATTTCTTGAAATAAATGGATGGATACAATTTAATTAACCTAAAATCCATTAATTTGGGACCAAATAAATGAACGAGAAAAGTACTGAAAATTAGTGGTATTCCACATGCCATACAGTTCATATATTTCTGATTCCCAAGGTTTTATGAGTTGTTAATTTGTTTGAACATTTCATTGTGATCACCTGGAATGTTGTGATCACCTGGAATATTGTGATCACCTGGAATGTTGTGATCACCTGGAATATTGTGATCACCTGGAATGTTGTGATCACCTGGAAGGCACTAGTTTTGCATGAGATAATTATTGGATAAATTCACTAAGACAAGGTAAATTCACTAAACTTTTAAGATAAGTCGAGCTAATTTCATTTAAAATAATTTTGGAGAGATGTGCTACACATACATAGTGCACACAGACACACACACACACAGACAGAGACAGACACAAACAATTCATTATTGAAATGAAAAGTAAGGAACAATGGGTCTGCGAACAATCCGAGAAAACTTCTGGTGAAAGTGAAAGAAGGAAGAAGAGAAATACTGCAAGTGACATGAATAGATGACGGACGAAGCAAATCAAAATTCTCATCTTTTTTCCAGACTGAGCACCGATAGGAAAATCCCGAGAGATAAATCACCGGTGGCAGTGAAGTCGTCTGACATGTAACTGGCGCAATTGTCTGGATTTGTACGCATTGTTGTCACCATCTATGAGATTTCCTTCACGATGATACCTTGATACAGTGGGAAAAGTAATTACTATCTACCGATTCCTTTTGTTTAACTCTCTTGTTAAGATCTGAATCTAGCTACTTCTGGTGAAAATAAAATTAGATGATACTGGAGTTACCAGAGATACCAGAAAATAATACTTGCTGTGATCAATCAGACATTTTCTCTATTGACATTTTCAAAATTTCTCAATGCTAAAAGTTTAATCGTCATTCATCAGTCTTGCTTGCTTACCTTCCTTTGAGCAATGTTCGAGTTCTTCTCTAAGTACGAGAACAATCAATAATTTCGCATTCATTTATTATTTCTCAAGAATGCGAGGCGATTCTCGATAAGGGTGGATCATCACTATCATAGACGCTGAAATTGAGAAACACCCTACCGAAGTGTCACCAACAACGATTAATCACTGATAGAGGTTATAAAGAAAATGGTCACTACGACGATATAAAAAAATAAAAGATCGTTCATTGACGCGGTAGGTCTGTTTCGCCGAAACAAGATACCTGATAATAAACGGACTTACGTCCGCAACAAAAAAACTGAGTCTATATCTGGAAAACGAATCTTTTTCTGGTAAAAAATAAAATGTACAAAGAAAACAAAAATGAATTTGTATCAAATAAACAAAATTAGTGTTTAACTGATGAAAAAGGAAATCTATTCAACATAACTACGCCCAATAGTCTAATCAACAGAAATATGCCTAATAGTCTAATCAATAGAAATATGCCCAATACTTTATACTTTCACTTTCTTAAATGCTTATTACATGAAATTATTAAGTTTGCTGAAATACATTAATAAATACTATTGAACAGAAGGAAATATGGAAGAGAATCGAAATTGATTTGAACCATTTACTAATTAATATTCTATCGTAGTTTCATTAATAGTAATGAAAGTAATGCAAGGTGCAATGAAATTTAATGAAAGTAATGAAAGAGATCCAATGAAGAGAATAATGATAATAGCAATCACAGGCTGTCTAGCAATAAGTAAGTGATAATGGTGATAATCAAGACTGTGAGCAGTTGACAAAGATGCGACACTGATTATTGAAATACTTAGAATGCTTTAATTCATTATGCTTCTTGATATGCATCTTAGCATCATCTGTTTTACTTTTTTTCTGATTTCAAAGTTATCTGTCATCAGAGTGTGTTTAATGATAGATCAAAAGAACGCTTAATAACAATGATAGTAAATATGTTAATAACAGTGGTGACAATACAGATGATGAATGTGATAGTAAAGTGATCATGACAATGTGATATAAATAATGGCGATAGTGACAATAAGACCGATCTTTCTACTTGTGAAAGTTTTTGAGTGTACTGATGAAAAACCGAAAATATTTGACCCGAATCTGTACTGGTTTATGTTGTTTCTTGTTTGAAAGTATATCCTTCATCTGTTCAAACCGTTTTTCTTTTTTGTCTTTTTCTTTTCTTACTTAAAAATTTTTTTTTGTTTGAAAATACAAAAGAAATAGATGTTTTAAGAGGAGATTGCCGTACTGATACGAAGGCAAAGAGACGAAGAAGAGAAAATGATACTAGAGGTTAGAGGGCATGGGGGCAGGACAACCGAAATGTCAAATGTCACCGTAAAAGCAGAACAGACATACGGGATACCCCGTTTCCAAAATTATATAAAAGGCAGTTATTTTCATTGAGATAAGGGTGTAGGTGTCAACAACACCAGCAGCAGTAGCAGCAGTAGTTAGGTGGAGGAACGGCAAGCAATTTTAGTTTCTAAAATAAAATCTTACTTTATTCTTCTGAAAAACAATGCTTCGTCTTACCGCTCTTTGTGCTACTCTTTTCGCGGTGTCATATGCAATTCCTGTTGATAACGGCGTCGAAGGTATTTTATTTTCCTCAAATATATGCGACAGTCTTTCATAGGATTTTTGTCATTTGTGCTGTGACATCTGCGCAGCTTTACAAAGAATTTATTCACAATTTATGAAATTTTTAATGAATGCTAATTTGTTTATATGACCATCAACATGTTAGCATTATCTCTATAGTTTTCTTATAAAATTTTAATATTTGAGAAAAGAGCCAAGTCCTTTATTCGTTATGTTTGTCCCGAATCCATCTTTATTTATTGTTTTATCCTTGGAAAATTAGATTTTTTACGAAGAGAAAAGGAGTAGGTTTTGTTCAGTTTCATCCAATTACATTCATTTATAGGTGAGCCGGAAATTGAATGTGGACCAACTTCAATAACCATCAATTTCAATACACGTAATGCATTCGAGGGACACGTTTACGTGAAAGGTCTTTACGATCAAGAAGGCTGCCGTAACGATGAGGGTGGACGTCAGGTCGCTGGAATTTCACTTCCTTTTGATTCCTGCAATGTTGCTCGTACGCGGTCTTTGAATCCACGAGGTATGTGATCAGTTGAATCTGTTTCGATTTGAGAAATAAAAACACTTTCTGAACAAATTTGAATAGATTTAAACGATAAAAAAGAAAAAAAAAAAAAAAAACAGTTTGTTCAGCTTTTTCATAAATTACTACAATGTTTCTCGAAATTTTTACACGAAAATTCCTTGCAGGTATCTTTGTAACGACCACTGTTGTAATTTCCTTCCATCCACTGTTCGTCACAAAAGTTGATCGAGCATACCGAGTGCAGTGCTTCTATATGGAAGCTGACAAAACGGTCAGCACCCAGATTGAGGTGTCTGAAATCACAACTGCTTTTCAAACTCAAATTGTCCCCATGCCTGTTTGTCGATACGAGGCATGTCTTTTTGAATTTTTTGAATTTGCATTTATTTATACAATTCAAATTCAAACATGAAAAAATCTATTTATCACATAGTAGATGGTGACAAATATTTTAGATTTTGGATGGTGGACCAACCGGACAGCCAATTCAATTTGCTACCATTGGCCAACCAGTTTATCACAAATGGACCTGTGATTCCGAAACCGTTGATACCTTCTGCGCAGTTGTCCACTCCTGCTTTGTGGATGATGGCAACGGTGATACGGTGGAAATTCTGAATGCAGATGGTTGTGCTCTCGACAAATACTTGCTGAACAATTTGGAATATCCAACAGGTAAGTGAGATAATCGGTAAAGCAATCAACAATTAGCACTAATTTCTTCACTTTCCTTTAAAATGTAAACGAAAAACAGAAACAATCTTTTTGGATTATCAAAGAAATGCTTTTCGAGGGTGCTTAAATTAAACTTATCTTTGTCAATTAACTTGAATTGTTAGATCTTATGGCTGGTCAAGAAGCGCATGTGTACAAATACGCGGATCGATCACAACTTTTCTATCAATGCCAGATCAGTATTACCATTAAAGAACCAAACAGTGAATGTGCTCGACCACAGTGTTCAGAGCCGCAAGGATTTGGAGCTGTTAAAACGGGCGGTGCCGCGGTTAAACCTGCAGCAGCTGCTCAACTCCGCTTGCTCAAGAAGAGGTCTGCGGAACCAGAGAACGTCGTCGACGTGAGGACTGATATTAGCGCCCTTGAAATCAGCGAAGATGTATGTCACCTTGCTTATTATTCTTATTCCTTTTTTTATGATTTTTTCCCACAATTGTCTCTTTTCAAATGCTTTTTTGACTTTTTTTTTTTTTTTATTATCTAATTCAAAAGGAATTTTAGAATCAAGCTCTACCAGTTGACTTACGTCATCGTGCACGTTTGCATCTCGGTGGACAACCAGTGGTACTCGCCGCAGTGCAAAACGGAATTTGCATGTCACCATTTGGCTTCTCAATGTTTATGGGTTTGAGCATTGCATTGATTGCTGCCGTCATTGTCACCATTTCCTTGAAATTTCGTCCAATGCAAAAAGCATGAAATTATGAAAACTATGATAGAAGTGTGATTCAAACAATAATAAGATGTCATATTTCTTTCTTTTCATTAATTTTTAATAATCAATTTAGTTAGCGAAGATTCGAATGTGTAAAAATTAGCCATAGGATAGATGGATAGTTCTTCTATTGCTTTGCTGTGACCTCCGAACACTTCACTACCCTTATGGCACTCTAACCTTGTCACCTTAGGCTATCAGCAGTCGTCTATTATTGTCAACTTGTCTTTACCATTTGTGAAAGTATCACAAATACTTGTACTGCCCATTTTTCACGGGCATTGCTGTTTTCTCTCTGTAACAATTATTTCATTTATTTGCATTATTGCAATTAAAAAGATTTCATTGCTATCGCTACCATTCAAAACAGATATGAAAGGTAATAAATTAATTGGGAAATACTGAATGTTACTACCGGAAGATAATTCAGGAAAGTTATGCACCACAAACTGAAATACGCTCTAACCTTATCATAGATCAATCAATTCACGGTTAATTGATATTAGCATCCTTTTCAGCTAGCAATAGGAAATTTTCTCATCATCAGGTTAAGTGAACTTTGTTAATTGCTCTAAAATGAAAAGGGAAATTGTGATAAGAACTCCAACTGATAGAATGGAAATCAATGAGTTTTTCAAAAAAAGTTAAACATGGATGAAAGCTTTTCAATCATTTGTTAACGCTTTTAAATTTTCCAATAGAATTTTGATAGAAAGGGAAATTGTTGAAGAAAAAATACATTTAGTGAAATGAACTGCTTTGATAGAAAATGCCAACTCAGTTTGAAAGAGCTAAGTTTCTATTAAATCAATTCAAAGAAATATAAGAAAAATGTTAAAGTTTAAATAATCTCTGAAGTTTCTTTTCCAGCACTAAAATTGTTGAAAATGCGGCAATTTGTGTTATCTTTGGTAAATAGTTAAGAAATAATAATTAAAATAATTTCACACTAAAAATACTTTAAATACTTTATGCAAAAATATTCACAAAATCATTGTGTCATATTAATTTTACAAGCGAGAATGGATGTGAAGCGGTGGTTATTCACTTTGTTGCTGCTAAAAATGAATTTTGGAGAATTGGATGAAGTAGTAGATGATGAAAAGGTAGACTGATTTATGTTTCATTTCATTGAAATTTGGAAGATCGAATTTTCTAGCTGTTCGTTTTAAGTTTCAAACAAAAATCATCAAAATTACACTTTTTTCTTTTTGAAGGAACTACTGGAAGATCCAACCACTAACTATTACACTCATCCAATACGCAGTAGTGTAATTTTTGTCAAGACTGTATTTCGAGAAAAGTGCAAAAAGTTTGAAATTCACTACTTTTATTTCATATTATTTTAGAAATGTATGTCTCAGTGATAAATATTTAATTTGATTGGTGTAGTAAACTCTTTTGATTCATTCATCTGCTAATATCTGCTAATTACTTATTTCATTGATTGATTTAATAAACAGACTTTGGCGAATTGTCCTTTACAAAACTTTAGAACAATAGAAATTTTTCAAAATATTTCAAATATTATTAATTAAATTTGTGTTTTTTAAGATTTGGTACATAATTAATTAAATTTGTGCTATAAGTTTTTTTTAAGATTTACATTTTCTACGTGGTACAGTAATGAATCAGCAACGCCATATGTCATCTATGAGACAACTGAAAGGTTCGTTTGCTTTTGGCTTTGTGATTCATCGCTTTTCTAAATAAAATCTACTATTCGTCTTTGGCCAAGTCTTAATTTCAAGAAGTGAGTGGAATTTTAAGGTGTTCTAATTTGCAGTTAACTTGCTAATATTAACTTTCCTAAATAAAAATTTTGAAAATGAAAAGACGAAGCAAATTTTCAGTCCTTTAAGTAATGTCACATTTTTAAATGATTCATCGCTCTTACATTTTTTAAAGTAATAACTCATCTAAAATGTTTCGATTTACAAATAAAATATTTTTTTGTGAGCAAAATAAATAATATTCCAGCAAATACTGAATTCCGTTTCATTCCAAACTAAACGGAAAGATTTTCAGCGGAGCAAGATTGACATTTGGATATGATTACGATCGAGTTCCGTTCACATCGTTGGATAGTGGACACAGGTAAGTGAACACAGGTAATAGTGCTGTGACAATAAGTAGATATGAGCATAAAGCAGGTAAGATGGCAAATCAGTTCTTATCAGTAATATTTATAGCAATATATCATGCAGAATTGTTCCATTTATTATGAAACAAACTACGATTAATGGAATCGAATTTTTTTTAGCTTATGAATTCTTCTTTTTGCTCAATTTTAATTTTACTTTACCAGTAAGATGAAAGATTCCATCTCTGAAGATATCGCTGCCATGCCGTACGGTTTCTCATTCATTATTTTATACGGAAGCTGGAAAGCCAATCTCGTTTTCAATGGAAGGTTGATAAATTATACCTTGCTTAAATTTAATCATAAATTTAAAAGATGAGTGCATAAAACAAAAATGAAAGGTATATTTATCATTTAATCTTAGCAAAAAAAAGATTCAAGCATCACTAAAAATGAATTTATCACAAATTTCACTTTGAACTGTTAACAGCAAAACAAAATACTGATATTATATCACTGACCATAACAAAAAATCACGTGTTCTTGACGAGATAAGTAGTACACATTGAATTAAATTCTTAGTTAAAAATTAAAATTCAAAAGCAGTAAGTGAGATTTGAACGACAAATTTATATTTAGATTTTATTTCATCAATGGACGTAGTAGAATGTTGATGAATGCCAGATTCGATTCCACGAAACCGGCAGCGTATGTTTCCGGCTGTGATCCACGAAAACAACGGTATTTTTGAAATGCTTTGAAATATCAAAGCACTGAGCTGAGCACTTACTAGCATACTCTATTTTCAGAATTATTATTCGTCAAAGTCCTTATGTGGATCCTTTCAACTGGGGAAGCTATCTGTGGATGTCGAATATGCGACCATTGGGATTAATCCAACCGGACAATACTGTCATTTGTTCCTTACGATACTTTCCGGCTGGTCAAGGATCGTTCGTTTTCATGTTTTATATTAAAAAAAAAAAAAAAAAAAAAACGATTAGTTAGTACTTGAACTGTTCCAGAAAATCAGTTAGTTCATTTGGAATTGTGTAGTTAAATAAAACTTAACAAAGCTCTGTGCAATCAAATAAAACTTACTATCTAAGCTTTCTACTTTCTACCATAAGATAAAATAACAAAGATGTTTTGATCAGATTCATGCTCGGCGCATATGGCCAACGAAATCGGAGCTATCTTCATTCTCCTCGTTCATTTATGGGATTGACACTGAATCATGACAGAACTCGTTTCTTTGATATACTTTCCGACAAGAAAAAGCTCTTTCTTACCTTATTTGGAGCTTATGACAAAAGCAATCGTAAATTTTTGAAAAAAAAAAGAAACAAAAAAATTACGAATAAAATTTATGAAATGATATGTTTCAAATTTAATGAACTTTTCACTAAACTAACTGAAAGCACTGAAACACTCCTTGAAGTATATACTATCCGTTTTTTTATCCAATTCCGAAATAATGCACGGAAAAATGTCCGGAAGGTGAATATATTATCGCTTTTAGATGTTTTACTGGAGGAGACGTATGACGAATATGACCTAAGTATTGCTATGACCTTTCATGATTCAACAATTAGATATCGAGTAACCGGAAGCATCGATACCGTGAGTTGTGCTCCTTCAGTTTTTCAGGAATGCTAGTTACTGTTTGGTGTGAACTGCAACTATCATTCCTTAAAGTTCATTAGAGAAGTTAAACAACTTCCAATTCTCTATGGATGAGTTTAAATTAGATGGTAAGAATATCAGATTTGAGTACAATCCTAAAAATATTTGCTAGCATAGCTATTTCTTATTGTCATTTCAAATTTACTTATTCAGAAAAAGATTTCAGAAGTTGAAATGAAGCAATTATGTACTAATTTCTAAAAATAAATACTCATTTTAGGATACTTCATTTAGACTTATAAGAGTGAATGTGGTAGCACACCTGATGGTCTTCCGGATCCGTGCAAACCTGATCCTCATGATTTTTATTTCAGCTGCTTGCATGTTGGGTATTATTTAAGTGAGTGATATTTCATTTTAATTTTGCAAATTAGAACAAATTATTGCTAAACAGATTCTCATCTGATCTGATTGTTACAGTAAGTTGACATGAATTGACACCTTGCTTCTTAATTAGACAAATTTCAGCTGAAGAGCGGGAGACAATTCCTAATCGAACCGCCAGTCGTTGTACCCTAGCTGGTCCAAGTCCCTACAGAAGCATACTTGATCGAAGTCAACAGTTGAGATACACATACGCATACTGGGGTTTTTCATACTTCTAATTAAATTGCCACTTATTAATTTTCTCTATAAATTCGTTTCCAAAAATACCGCCACCTTTTTTTTTTTTTTTTTTTTTAAATTAATGTCAATTTTCAGAAGATCTATCACTTATGCATATGCAAGATGAGGGAAATATCACTTTGGTTATCGATGGAGTGCAAATGATACCTCCACCGGAACCGGAAATTTGCCACACAAGCACTTCTGATTTTGACTGGTTCTGAAATTACTCCCTTTTTTGTTATCACTTCGTTTCTTTTTCATTATCAGTTTTGTTCTCTGCTCTCCAACCTTTTGAATTTATCATTTTTGTTATTGTTTACGAAAAGATTTGCTAATAAAGTAATGCAATAAGTCGAAGAGAATGGCTTAACTAAGATGAGCAGTTCACCTTCAAATATTTTAACTCTCAGCAAATTATCTCTGATCAAAAATGTCAAATTGCTTTGAGAATGTCAGCAAAGAGTAGAAAAAGAAATAGGAATTTGCATCTTTTCGAGAATTTCAAATGTTTATGATTGTGCTTTAGTATCTTATCAATGCTTTCATATCGTGAACGTATATTATCCCAGTTAATCTTTATCATAAAATGACTTATCAACAGATTTATCTTCTGATAAAAGACTTACACAATGACGGAGGCGTTTTCGTCTTTTTGCTTTCTTAGTTTAAATGTGTAGCAGGAACTTTGGTTTGCTGATCAAAATCTTTTTCACTTTAAAGCGAATTCGTCTACTCAGAACGGGTGCAGCCGGTTTTGTATCCGGCATGGTTAAATCATTTAAATTAATAGCTTAGTGTGAAGCTTGTTTAAGTTGCAGAAATCTACAGAAGTTGCAAAAACTTGCTTAAGTTTCTTGCAACTCTGAGAGTTTAAATTTATATTTTGCTAAATTTATTGTATTATCAAACTTTCATGACGTCATCACAAATTTTTTGCATAACAATAAAAGTTTTCTTATAAAAGATATTTCTGTTCGAGCATTTTTCATTTTGAAAACATTTGAAAGTGATATTAAGTACTTTCAAGGTGTTCAAAGGGAATCTTCGTTTAATTTGCAGGTGCTACATTAGCATCATTTTGTCGAGAGTTGTCAAAGCTATCACAGCTTGAAATATTAAACATAGCTAAAGCATTTCATCTTTTTTTTTTTGAAAGTTCCCAGTAATAAGATGAATTGATAGTGATATATTCCTTATCAATGCATACATATAAGCAGTGATTAGCTAATAATAAACAATGAAATAATTCGATACAAAAAATCGATAAGGCAACTAATTAAAAAGTAATTCATTTTGCAGTAGGACAGAAGAGATGCAGTCACATCAATTGCCAAATATAATTTCCATAACTGGCCTAGCAGTTACAACAACCTTATCAATTCTGGCATCATTAATCATTGCCACATCACCTGTATTACTGATTCACCTGTTGAGTAGACAACCAATTTCAAAGACACCTAGTGAATTTAAACTTAAATAATTTGGCAGTGAAAATATCATCTTAACTAGCCAGGACATTATTGATTCATGTTTAGATTTTAAAAATAGGTCAATTGGGATGGATTTACCAAAAGTTGGAGGAACTTTTCAAATTACTATTTTTTATGTTTTCAAGCAATTAATTCTAATGAATCATTGGTACAGCTAAAAAGGATATCCAACGAATCAATAAATTAGAATTGGCATTGGAAGTTATAAAAGAAGAGATGGCTGAGAAACGTAGAAGTCTTTTTTCTAGTAAGGAAGTTTCTTTGTTGTACCCGAATCTCTCAATGATATCTACGATAACTTTATTGGTGACGGACAAATTACACAAAGTTACATTTCAATCAAAACATGATAACATTTATTGAATTTCTTTCAATTATAGAAGGTCGACTGCAACTTCAGCGCATCATCAGAACAATTCAAATGGAATATATCAATTTGAATTATGCAATATAAAGAAGCGTTATTACTTATTAAAGTTAATTATGAATCACAATTGAATTGAGAAGAAAATTTGTGACGAGAAAAAATTTCAAAAAAAAAAAATAGTTTAATTAGAAAATAATTAGAGGAGTAAATAATTGTTAAGACAATTATTGTATGACTCATCGGAACTCATTGCAGGAACAATTGTTTCTGATGCTATTACCTATGCTTTTTCTCGAAGCCATACTGTCCTTCTTGCGGTTTCTGCTCCGTAATTTCACTTTGATAGTTACTGACAGGAGCGCTTGGATTTTTCACTTCCGGTGCGTTACTTGGAGCGACAGCCATTTTTATCACACGGCGTTTGAAGACTTCATTGCTTTGTTGCTTACCTGCAAGAAATTTATCGCTCCGGAAAGTCAATCAAATTAGACTGTCTGCCAGTTGCGCTTTTGCTAATTGTTTGGCGTTTCTTTTGAATGCTTGAAATGCTTTCTATTCTCAACGAATTCATCTTTTTTGCAAAGACTTAAGTTTTCATGAACACAAGAAAGTTTTGCATAGAATTTGAGATGATTAACCTCCATCATTCGTTCCTATTCTCGTCGTCAACGACATGTCATTTTTGTCCCCTGCTGGTGCGGTGATTGTATCTACTGATGAAGTTATTATGGCTGATGCAGGAACATCTGTTAGTGTTGATCCGGCCGATGATACTTGAAATCCGGTGCTATGTACCATTTTCTGCATTATAATAATTAATTACAGTTGGAGATTATTTTTCTAATTGTTGAAATCAATAAAGCCAATTAATATGAAAAATGTATAAATTAATGAAAAAAGTCAAACCGAATTTGGTTGTTCAGCCATAGTTGTATCAACTAATTCAATAGCTTCAGTAACTTGTAGTGGTGTCATGGTGTGGTTTAAGTGTCGCATCATAGGGACCTAAAAATTTGGGTTTTTAGTTGAGAACTAAAAACTTAACCTAAATGGTAGCTTAATTGAATTTGAGGTTATTAATAATATTTGATTGAAGTTAGGGTGTAAAAATTGAAAATAAATAGTTAGTAATGGTATGTAAACCTACCTGGGGCTCTTCAGTGATGTTTCGGGATCGAGAAACATCGGTAAAACAGAAATGCAGCAGTTGCGCAGTTGTCAGCAATTGAATTAACATAGATTTTAGCCTACTGAAATTTCTTTGTTGATTGTTTTGATGGATTTGTAAGGAAGTATTCAAGCATATGTTTGCAGTATACTCTCTAAGGTACACTCATTGATGTGCAAATTCTCTGAATTATTTTGATAGATTTAAAAGTAAACTGTGATAACTCTTAAGGCTGATTATATTCAAATAATTAATTAAGCAGCGGAATGGTTGCGGAGCGGTACAAAACTTCACATAATGTTCGGAAAACCATTGCAAACAACCTTAAAAAATTGCAAACAGAAACTGGAAATTCTTAAAAGTGAAAAATATGACAACTTAATTTAGCTAAGACCCTAAATTTTTAATATTTGAAAAGAATCCATAGTCGTTGCGAGCAACTTTAGCTTGTAATAAGAAAGCATTGGCTGTACAACGTCTATTTATATTCTCCGCAAAATAGCTGTGCTTATTGCTTCATGAAATTTACAAATGAAACCTATCAGAATCCGGTTTTCATCCAGCAGTGGAAAATGAAAATTTTGGATGTTGCCATCAACATATTGCCAAAATGACAGAATATTTTTAAACTAAACTTTATTACCATTCATTTCACTTAAAATAAAACTAAATCGTTTCTCTATGCATTCTTTTTTATCGGATGGAATAAGCGTAGAGATAATTACCCAGCAGAAGCTATCAAAATTATCAAACAAATTACCAACGAGATGTATTGAAGACAGAGAATCCTCCTGTTAGTAGTCTGAATTATTCCGGTTTATTACGGTTTAATTATAGTACAATATTAAGCAGTAAAAACGGAGGTTTAATTACCGGTACTTAGATAAAAACAAGACATATGCATTTTACTTAGCCATTAAAATTTAAGGCACTTAATGAGTAAAACAACTGACAGTTTAAGTTTTGACAAGTATTATCAGTTCATTGCTTTCTTAATTTCCTCTTTCGAAGAAGTTGTAAAAATACAAAAGATAGAAATTTAAAGCAAAGTACCCTATTTACTGTTAGATAAAAGCAGCAGTTCAAGAATTAATGAAAACAAGAATTTTTTCGAAATTTTATTCGATATCCGGTTTTGAGATGCTGTGAACGAAAGTAAATTAAAATAATCCATTACCTTTTTTATCAATATCTTTTCGTTCTATTCTTTGTTAAATTGCTCTTTTTGTTTTAGTGTAAAACTAGCTGTAAAGACTGGAACGGATTACGTTGCGTGACGCATCGCTGCGTAACAGTGATTTATGTTTTGTTCTGAGTTGAAATTCGTTTCTTTGTTAGAATGAAATAAATGGCAATTAGATGAGGGAAGAGAACTTCTCAACCTCGTCTCTTTACTAATTTCCAGTTTTTTTGATAGTTGCATGAGATAAGAAATGAAATGACTATTTATCATTACAACTGGAATTGCATGCCTCAGGCCAACTCATTTTCTTGAAATATGTGAAATTTGCTTGGAAACGGATTTCTTATTAGTACCTAAAGTCTTTTTTGCATTTCAAAATGACTTATCAAGCCTTAATCAGTGCACATATTATGAAATGACTCATCTTTGTGAAATGATATTTGGTCTTTGAGGATTATTATTAATTTAAAAAACAAATTTTTTTTATTTTTTTAAATTATATTCTGAGATTTTGAGAATTACCAAAGCTAATGGAAATAATATTACTGCTCGAGAGTGATGCTATTAATAATTATGGTTCTGTAGCTACTGCTGCTGTTGTTATTGTTATTGTTGTTATTATTATTGTTGTTGTTGTTATTGTTGTTGTTACTGTTGTTATTGTTGTTGTTGTTATTGTTGTTGCTGTTATTGTTGTTGTTACTGTTGTTATTGTTGTTGCTGTTATTGTTGTTGTTGTTGTTGATTTGATGTGGGTTGCAAAAATATCAACTCTTTTGTTTCACTTTTCATTATTTAGCGCAGTTCGCAAACCTGTTTTTCGGAGAAATTGTCGAATGAAACATCATCCACGGACTTGTTAACTCTTCCTGTTATCTCTGATTTCCCTAATAAAGTGATAAGAGTTTTTATAGGAAGGTCATTCTAAACTTTGCGTCCATTTCCTATCAAACCATAATAAACTGTTAATTTGAAACCAAAAACCTCTATAAACTCTACTTCTCTTTTAATTACTATTGTTCGAAATGCCGTGAGCAATTTTTCGATCCTTTATCATATGATGACCCAACATCCTAATTATAATTTCTAACAATCTTTTTCTCAACTTTCCTAATCTGTCGTAAAGTTCAATTCTATCCTTTTATTAATCAATTCCTCAGTTCAATTCTATCCTTTTATTAATCAATTCCTCAGTTCAATTCTATCCTTTTATTAATCAATTCCTCAGTTCAATTCTATCCTTTTATTAATCAATTCCTCAGTTCAATTCTATCCTTTTATTAATCAATTCCTCAGTTCAATTCTATCCTTTTATTAATCAATTCCTCAGTTCAATTCTATCCTTTGATTAATCAATTCCTCAGTTCAATTCTATCTATTAATAAAAATTAATCAATTCCTCTCAATGTATCTATCATTTTAATCCAATCGCAGTTCTCCAATTTTTTCAGTTGAAACTATTCCTGCAAAGGTCATTGTGTATTTTCCTGCAATTACTAAGAATTGGTGCAAATTGTCATTCTCACGCACTTTTCAATTTGATAAATGAAATGAAATGGAATGGAATGGATGAACGATTGCAAGTTACGATTGCATTTTATCATTTTAATATTGCATGCATTGGCTAATTTCTCATCACAAAATATTGCTTATCGTTATCTGTCATTGCTATTGTCAACCTGTCACTGCCATAGTCAACCTGTCAATGCTATTATCAATCTGTCATTGCTATTGTCACACTGAAATCATTCAATGCCGTTAGCAATATTACATCATCTCAACAAACTCCAAATGGATATCTCGAAGCAGTACGCTTTTGCAGTTAAATTAAACAAGCATTGAAAGGACTTAAAAGAGGATTTAATTCGTTACGTTTACATTTGTGTAAGAAGAGGGTAACTTTTCAAGAGATTATCTCGTAATGATGAAAGCATTGTTGAAAGTGCTAAATGTTAGAATTTTCCAATCACTTCCATGTATAAATCTGAACGAACAAGATAGCTTGGAAAATTTTCAGATACATTTGATGTATCTTATCAGATGGAGTAGTTTACTAAGTTATAATTTATGCTAGTAGCATCTTAAATAACGAAACATTTAATAGTTTGATGTAAACTTTGACTGTGAAATATAGTGCAGGAACAATTAAAAGTAGTATGCAGATTATTCTAGAAGAAATCCGGTTCTTTTGCAGTAATTCTATACGACTGATCAAAATAGTTATAATTTAAGTATGGCGTACTCCTCATCAGTATTAAATCTGAAACATAAATGTTTAACTTTATTAAGTTCATCTTCCTGTTTCGTCTTGATTTAAGTATTGAAGATTTGACTGACAGAATTATTTAGACAAATTTAAAGATTTGTGAGAATTCAAATTTTAAAATTTCAATCATCCTTCACCAATCCAAACAGCACAGAAGAGCAGCAGCTTTTCATGAGTCATATTATCATTTTGAACAAGATATGAAATAATTAATGAATGTATATTCTCATCCTTTCACATGCAATAATAAAATAACACTCTTTCCCTCTCGCTCTTCTCATATCACACTTTTTCAATAAATTATCGAAAAAAAAACTTGAATTCTTTAAACGTCTCCACTTTATCTTATACTTTTACCAGTTCCTTGTGAGCACCAACTGTTACCGTGGAGTCCCATTCCACCGTCAAATAACGTTAATAGTGTGCTTCATACCATATTATTATCACTTATTTTGCAGTTCTTTGTTTCTGAAGTTAGTTTGAAAATTTTTGAAATTTAAATTCTGATGACTTTCAAAATTTTCTATCAATCATTTTTATTTTCAAATTACTAATCTACTGCAAATTCTTCTTTGCATTCTGCCTGCTTACATAAGCAATTATGTAAATGTGATTGTTGCTTCAATTTATCTGCCAGATATCTTCAAATCGAGAAATCCCTGAAAGTATGTCGTCGAGAATGCTATTACGGATATCGTTCTTGTTGAAATAAGAGTGGAGAATTGCGCAGATGTTTCTAATCTTCCATTCTTTTCTCTGTGCTTATTATTTCTTTCAAATTTTAAAGCTTTAATAGATATACGATATTAGAATTTAAAGAGTACAGATACGGTACTCCAGAAACTGTGTCCTCTACTTCCTTTCGAGTTGTGACAATTGCACTTAACCTATGGAAGCAATTAAAATTTGTAATGTGCTAGTTTGAAATTTATTCATTTTTTAGATAATATAGTATGGAAATTCAAAGTTTATTGAATTATATAAATTTTGTTGTCACATTGAGTATTCTTGACATCATAATATTACCCATTCCCTCTGCCAAAAATCTGATTTGTTGCACAGAAGCAATTATTACTTTTACTTCAAATTATTCCTTTATAAAAGTTACCTTTAAATTTCCTTTTTATCTTAAATTTGAAAAATCAACTAATGCTATCACAACGACTAAAGTAAGATGTGATGAATTAAATTATAAATTTTTTAAATATATCCCATACCACTTAAAACTATCATTACTTTCCTGAAATACCTTAACACAATCATTTCGAAGAATCAATCTTAACTCAATGCTTCCTTGAATTGACATTAAAACTTCCTAAACTGAATAGGTGGACACATCAAAAAATTAAAACAGTTCAAGAATCATATCTTTGATTTCTAAAACAAAAATTGAATAATGAGTTTTTCTCTCAAATAAAATTTGAATTCCTTCAAAAAAAAGAAAATTTTTTTTAGTGTAAGGTAATGATTTTCCTTCTGATCTTAACATTAGTCTTCAATATAGTTATCAGAATTAACAATTCATTATCAATTACAATTTATTATTAACTTTATTATCAAAGTTAAATTGATATTTCTGTGCAATTTCAATACAGGCAATTGTGCAAATCTGCTGATCAAATGGAGGAGCCGAGAATAGGTGATCAAGACTAAACTATTATCACTTTTGTGATTTGTGATAATGATATTATCAGAGAATTATCTTTCGTTCTCCGTAACATCTGCTTTGTTTTTTTTTTTTTTTTTTTTGTTCATATATTTTGAGTGAAATGCTGTAGAAAGTATGCTACAATTATTGCTTCTGTTGCATTTATTGTTGCGGTACAGTGCCGTGGGACACGTGGCGTTGACGTTTCCGTCAGCTCGATTTCCACCGCTCGATTTCTTGGATTCCGCCCGAACAATCAGTCCGTGTGGTGTACCTAAGCCTGATAGTCGTTAGTGATTGTTGCTCTTATTACTAATGTAATCATCAATACCAGCAAGTATCTTCCATTTTTATCAAGACTTAGCAAACATTGTATGTTTTAATTTCTAATTAAATGTCACTTCGACTTATCCGCCTAAAGTAGAAAACTTTTTTAAATACTTTAATTTAGATTAAGTTAATAAGTTTTTTTAAGTAGCAAATTAAAATAGATTAAAACCGATTGATTTCAACATTTTAATGATGAATAACTTCTTCTCCATATCTGATATGTTTCTTTAACAAATTCAAAATTCAAAAATTTATAATTAATTTAAGCACGTTACACTCAATTATACGTTGGTGAATCATACAATTTCACGTGGCGATTGCAATACCCACACCAGGTTAATTAATTATTATGTATCATTTTATGAAACGTATCAGCAACAGCAATTGATTCAAGTTGTTTTCTTTCTTGAACTTTTGCAGGACACTTTCCTATTCAATTCTTCATTTAATGGTTGAGCTTAATCAGTTCAAATGTTTTTGAAAAGAAATTAATTTAAGTAATAAGTTCAAATTTATGCAATAAAATTTATTTTGCAAAGTGGAATGATGCCAAAAAAAAAAAGTAATTTTCGGAAAAGTAAAAATTTTTTATATTTTTTAGGGTGGATATCGCTTATCAGTGATAAATGAGACTGGAGATGTTGTAGAACAATTAGCGCCCCTGAAAGGTAGCAAATATGTTGGTCTCGATGATCAAACGTTCGTTTATCCTCTTTTAGATATTATTTATTTTGACAAATTTTGTTTTAAAGCAGACACATTATAGAATTTGCAAACTGGTTAATCACATCTTCAAAATTCCATTAAATTTCGGTGATGAATTTTAGATTTTTGTTCATTTTTAAAATCTCAACTAGAATAAAAGTCTTTTTTTGAAGTTGTAAATTAATTTTTCATCTTCTTTAATTGTCTTTGAAATTGGTAAAATTGTGCAAAATGAGAACGCTCAGTAAATATGATCGTTTAGAAGTGGCATTAGGAAGCGGAACTGTAAGAAGAAAGAGGAAAGTTGAGGAATTTATTTTCCCTCCAGCAATAACCTCTCAAAACAGTTTTTTATTCCTCCAAAATGGCACTAAAAGTTTATTATCTAAGATAAGGTAACAGTTGGGCATTTATAGGTTGCAGCATGCGACAGTTCGTCCTACACGTCCGTGTACGCCGTGTATAGTTTTGCTTGAACGTCAAGCTTTAGAGTGGGGCCAAGCTTATGAATTTCGATCATGTGCTGATGTAAATATTGTCCAAGAAGTGCCAAAAGATGATGAACGATGCTCAAAACACGGTGATTACGAGAACGGTAAATGTAAATGCCGCCATTCATATTCCGGCGAACTATGCCAATATAAAGGTTAAATTACCTATTAATGAATATTACTGCTATTAAACAATTTAAATAATCAATTGTTGATCAACAGACTTCTAAAAGTGTCTCAGGAATTGTTTTGCTTTATCCCGAAAATCATAAATGCTTGTCGCTACCGGAAAACAATTATAATAGCAATCTTGTTAACGATATTTACGAGTAGTGTGATACAAATAAGGACGGAACTGATAATAAACAAGAAATAATTGCATTAGATGTGTTAACCCTCATTCGTTGTTCTTCTTATCACTTAATCACTTCAAAATTCGAATATGTGCATGGTTTCTTTTATTGAAAAGACTTCCAATTAGTGAAGTATGAATTTTTTGTTTTTCCATTGCTATTGTTAAAATCATCCGGTTTTCTGGAATACCGATATAACGTGCTTCTCAACGGCAACTAAAGCTGTGCCATGTTGACAGGACGGGCGGTGTTGTCATTTAAGACGAAATGAAGAAATGCATTAGATTCAACTGGAACGAGCATAATTGTCATTAATATGTGACAGAAGATAAACGAATCAAATTGTTTATGAAAATGTCATGGTAATTTGCAATGAATAACTATTAATGTTGACAATATCCGTCTTAATTAGAAGTTTTATTCCTCTAAAAGAGAAACATTCGTGGGGATGGATCCGTCCGGATCGATCATGATGGTCTGTCACTAAATCTGAAAAAAGTTTGACGGTAGCGGCAAGATTTCCTTAAAATTCGAACATTTACCTATCACTTATAAGTGCATTCAAATAACGTCGCTTATCAATATTGACAACTCTTATCAATAAGCCTGTTGATAACAAATGATTGATGATATGGCTCTCCTGATTGATCTCTGATTTGCTACTGCTTTGATCATTTCTCTTTTCATACATATATTTACTGGGAGAGTAAAATGCAGCTAGTATTGACTTACTTATTTTGGACTTCAATATATTGTCTTCCTTTCCTCCTCTAAAAACAATGGGAAGGCATATTTACCTTCAGAATTTCTTCCTGCATTGTGAAGTTTTCTTGGGAAAAACTTTTGAGAGCATTAAAAGAGTCACAGTGCACTCAGATTTTGCATTATTTTCTTAAAAAAAAAAATTAGAATAAAAAAGTAATGAGAAATTAATTGATGAGATTGAATTTCTTGCATTCAGTTTTAATTGCAATGCTAGAAAATTTCAGATTATTGTTCGACCGACGATGATTGCCTGAACGATGGGAAATGTGTTAAAGAAGCAAATGGAATTGTAAGAAGGACGTGCTATTGCTCTTTTGGCTACTTTGGACAGAACTGTGATCGAAGTTTGTTTACTGATATAAATTAACGGCCAGGAGATACTTCTTTACGAGAACAATTAAAAGTTAAACTAATAAGTAGCAGTCATTTTAGTATTTTAGTTTTTACTTTGTATGAAATGCTCTTGAGTGACACTTCTGGCATATTCTCGAATGGCAGAAAAGAAAGAATCGAACAGTGAGACGAAATTTATACTTCCACAATTTCATATCAACTGGTTTTTAATTAAATTTAAATTCGTTTAATAATATTTTTAGCATTTGATGCTAAACCTGAAAATGATAAATGTTTCAATTATGATTATCCAAAGGATGAGAAAAAGTATAACAAATATGGTCTTTTTGGAGAAGAATGCTTTAAAAAAATTGCACTAAATGAGAACGATTTTGTTTATTCACGAGTTGTTCAAGTAAGTTTTAATGAAACTTTGATGGTGACATTTTCTGATGATTTTTTTGTTGATGACATTTTAATGAGAAATTGTGATGATTGAAAGATTTGAGAGTTTTTTTTTTTTTGATTGAATTGAATAAATAATTCTTACCTTGGTGTCTTTAAACGAGTTGTAATAATTTAAGGATGAACTAGAGATAATTTTGGATTATGAAAGCACATCATGGATTTCAATTGGTTGGCGACCCATGGAAATCGATCGTTCTTGCAGATTATTTCCCGATTTGGAGAATACTCGAAATAAGCGCGACACCAGATGGACATTGATTTCACATTCAACTATTCAGATGAATGAGTCGCAGTATCGAAGTCCGATCGACTTAAATTTAATGCCAGTGCCAATTCCTAAACTACCTGAAAACAACGGCTTGTGTAATTGCATTTACTCAAATTTTTATTTCAGTTCTATCAGAGCTTTTGAAGTTATCACTAAACAAACTGAATTATCAATTTGCGATATTTTTGCCGAAATATTTTGGCAAAATGAAATTTGTTCGTTTTGTGTCTGTGAGTTGAAGTTAATATTCTTCTGATGCCAATTGTTCCAGTAAGAGCAGCACTTCTGGCACCTCTTCATCCCATGGATTGTACAGATATTGTGATCGGTTCGGTGCGGGATGGCAGGTCGAGAATCAACGATATGTACACCAGAGATCGATCCACACCACTTTATGACATTTGGTTAGCACTGCTTTTGTTTACAGTCATTTATTAAGGTTGTAAAGATGCAATGCACAGTGCTTATGTTTGTGACAGGAGCGAATGACAAGTCTTTTAGGCTTGACGGTGAAGAGTCTTTTTCGGCAGCTTACGGCATAGAACGTGATGGCCGGACGATAGTTATGTTCAGGAGACGAATTGCTGGTAAGAATTTTTCTTTTTTGTTAATAATTTTGTCAATTGTAATGTAATTTTTACCTTTTTTGAAATCGTACGGAAAGAAGCAATATGAAATTGTCCGATAAATCGAGATTAGCCACTATACAGCTCTATTTTACCCATACATTACCCATACAACAAGGCTAATTGTCTTAGTTACAGCGTTAATAGAATCGCTCATCTTTACTGGGTAACTTTTTGAAGTTTGATCACAATAAATAATAGAAAATATTAAGTCTGAAAGGATTTTAGCAATTTATTATTTAAATACTTCTCTCTCTTTCTCTGTCTCCCCCATATCTATAGGAATATTCTAACTTCATTATTTTTTACAATTTCAAAAGTTATTCAATCTTTGGGAATAATTATTTTGCAAATAATCATAATATTTTTTATCTCAGAGATAGAACCATCAGATCACCCACTTGGACCGGGTGAAATTTTTGTCATCTATGCGAAAGGACAAATGATGGGGTCATATTCGCATGCTGTCAAGTCGGCACTTGATCAAGGTCCGATCAGTGATCACAACTTTTACAGACAAGACGAAGTGAAGTACCACGGAAGTAAATCTTTTTTACTCTCTGTCACAGAGATTATACGGTTTGCAATTTATACCCCAAAAAATACATTTTGCTTTTTTAGACAGAAATCGTGGAGTACACTCTGTAGTATTTGTTTCTGTCGATGAACAGTTCCCGAGTATCCGACCTCCGCTCCGGTCTCGACATCCGGATCCGTCATCTTTGCAACATCCGGCAGCTGCTGTGCACAATTCTTTTGCCCACGGAGCAGAAGTTCCGAAAGCCACGCAAGCTGTTTCGCTGCCAACAACAATAACAAGCGAAAGGTCATCATCTATAAGTGATATGATGCGACGACCATCTCTTCATTTGAACTCTAAAACAGAACCAACAGTCAAAAAAGAATCATTACTCATCCAGTCTGAACCAGTGCCAGAACCTGAACCGGAACTTGAACTGGAACCTAAATTAAATTCTCGAGAAATCGACTACTTATATTTTGATAACGGATCGTTGATGTTAAACACATTCCAACTAGTCTATTTCTTCTTCTTTCTCTTTTTCCTTCTTTCACACTGTTATTTGTAAGAATTGTTATTATTACTTTGCTATTGTACGACTGTTATAGGTTAAAGTGCTTTTCACATTGTATATAAGAAATTCTGATCTGTGCGAATGGGAGAAAAGACAAAGAGAAATGTTTCAGATTTGAGTCATTGAATCAAATCTTTAAAATTTTGAATTATTATATTTTCATAGAGCTAAAGTTTTCACTCAAACCAAAATTTATTTAATTACTACTTTAGCTTATTTTTTGGATTGGTTTATTTTCTATTCTACAACAGTCATTTGTTTACTAACATTGTCAACACTGGAAGATCTGTCAAAGTATGACTGAGTCATCTGAAAATGAATATATAAGGGAGGATGAAAAGTTGCTGATGTGATTAAAATTGTTCGAATGTTCGAGAATCTGTGCTTTGGTCACAGAGAAATGGAATTGTTGATGATAAGCTTAAAGGTCAATTTGTTCACCCAACAAAACTTTGTTCCTTCTCCTTTGATGATTTCAAATAATTTTTTCCAACTATTTCATAAAAAGTGTCTTGATGAGATGTTATCTATTCTTCTGCATATTAAGTGGATTTTAAGAAGATTCTCAATACGAGCAGAGGACACATACGGCGGCATTCTCAAAGCATTTCATAGTCAATTCGGCAGTTGACAGTTCAGAATTTCTTCTAATTCAAAATTTCATCTTTGGCTAACGCACCGACAGATTGGTTCTGGCAAAGCATTAAGTAGACCATGGCAATTTGAATCGAAATCCATTTCCTTCATTTCTTTTCTGCTTATTAGCAAATGAACTATTTTGTTATGCTGCTTTTCTCAGTTTGATGTGTCGTTGACGATGAGTGCGACATGGATATTAGCTGTCTCATCATCGATTTAGCGACAGTTGACAATGACATGTCTCATTCCTAGCACCAGCCGTATTTTCTCTTTTACTTCAGAATCTTTCTTCCTCTCAGAGCGGAAGGATTGCTCGGATGAAATAAGTTTAGCTATCTTCCTCTTCTCTTCTTGCTTAGATATATATAGATCGAGCTTCAACATTTGTGAGCTTTCTTCCAAGTCAAATTGACTGACCTCACTGTTTCTCTTACTGATGGATACTACCCGAATATCTATCTCACTGATGGATACTTCCCGAATATCTATCTCTCTTACTGATGGATACTTCCCGAATATCTCTCTTACTGATGGATACTTCCCGAATATCTCTCTTACTGATGGATACTACCCGAATATCTCTCTTACTGATGGATACTTCCCGAATATCTCTCTTACTGATGGATACTTCCCGACAACCATAATCTTCAGTGAAAAAAATTTAATTTTAATGGATAAAATTTGAAAAAAGTACTTAAGACCATAATGGAATAGCTTAGGCATTATTTCTGAAAGTTTTTGCACCAGTAAAACCGGTCATATCTATGAGACGCAATTAAAAGTCCCGACACGCTTCTCTCTCGTATTCAGTGAGATACGTGTAGTTGTACGTGACATACTTCAATATAATTAACGTAGATTCCAGCTTTTTGTTTTCATAAGGAATAGTGAATTGCTTGTGCGAGTATTTATGCGCAAATGGTTGTGTATGCGAAGAAAAATCTAAGTGGTACAGGTAGCAGCTGGAAAAGTTCATGTCACGAAGTTCTTCTTGTAATTAGTTCACCTGTCTATCAGCTCACCTGTCTATCAACTCACCTATTTATCGTTCTCATTTAATCGTGCACTGTAAATTGATGGATAGCAAATGTATGCAAGACGACATAGACCAGCAAAAAAAATGGATGCAAATTCAAAAGCTTTTATAATTTTGATGTTTGCAAGCCTCTCTCTCTCTCTCTCACTGTCCCATTTCATTTTGCTTGTTTAATTTGATTAAAGTGATTAAAAGAAAAGAGATGACATTTGTCAGACAGTGATGACATAATACTCCAAAATCTAATTACTGTTCTTGCTTATTTGCTTATTTGTACTTCAATTTTATTTGCAAGCAAATATTTCTAAAAATTCATTCTGCTTGTTCTCTTCTTTTAATTTCTGTTCACTTAATTCAAAGAAAAGAAAAGATTCATTGTTCACCTTTTGTTGGATATATTCAGCAGCATATTAAATTAAATTAATGAGTACAATCTATGCACTTCATTGCATCGTACTATCATTGAAGTTAGATTGACACACAATCCTACCTGTCTGATCGATATTGTGACAAAGTAAAATGCTTTTTATTAGCTTTCAATTACAAGGCACAAAGAAGGATTTACTTCAAAGGAAAGAGCGCGACGCAAACGCAAACATTGATAGTTATAATTTATGAAATCTCCGTGACTAATATCAGATGACGTTGTACCCTTTGCTGAATATAAATTATCCACGGGAGAATGAACTGATGGATAAAGTTGCCCGTGACAGTATGGTAAAATTGACATAAAAGAGTCGGATCACATAATGGAACTTTAATTACACTTACGTGAGAAGTGTCATTCATTGAGAAATTGACTAGGTGATAACTCCTTGTTTCTGCTAGATTTGTTTTTTCTTGGCTGCACCACAAGAGACTCTCGAGATGTTCTTTTAATTGAAAGCACTTTTAATGTCATTTCCGTGTCGCGTTTACATTAAATTTTAGTTTTCAGTAAGTTTTAATAGCAAGCAAAATGGTAAACCATTGGTAAAATAATAAACAAATAATCTTTTCTTAGTAAACAAAAAAACAAATTCAATCAGTAAATAACGGAATGTGTGGTATTCCGTCCCTCTCCCCAATTTCATTTTTTAATCAATTTGTCACACTGACAAATAAACCTTTTCCGCTAATCGATTTATAATTCTTTTATCATTTCTAACAGCCAATTTTTACAATGTGTGGACACTTTGTTCGTTTATTTATTTGCTCATAACAGAACATTTTGTAGTTTATTTCGAGACAGCAATCCGATCGATCGATAATTTATCGATTGATCGGAAAACAGGCATAGTGACGTCACCGATCTTCTTATTTGTTTGTAAGGATTTCGTGATCAGACAACGATTCGATCAATCTAGAAGAGACATCTGGTTAAAGGCAAAGACACTGTGGAATTGGTCAAATAGTTGAGGCAAATTAAAAGGCTTAATCGAGACTTTCCACCAATTATTGTCTATAAAAACTTCAATTTCGTTATTATCAAGTGAATTCGTTTCTTTTTTTCTTGCAATTCCAACATTTTAAAGTCAAATTTGGCTATTTGTCCATTTCTCAATCAAAATGCACCCCTTCCTCATGTTTTTTCCATTCCTTCTCATTCACTATGAGCAATCGATTTTGCTGAATTTATCGTTTTCCGCTTTGTGCTCTCCAAAAAAAAAAAACAAGGACTCACCAAAATGTACTTTCGTTATACCTACACAATTAGTCATCGCTCAAAGAATTTCCGAGTGGAAAGTTTGCTGACAAAGTTTCACCATACAAATGACCCATTTACATTTATTTAACTATGGGAGTGCTAGGCTTTACTGTTTTCTGTTTATTTTACGGTCATTCAATTAAATTTAAGAATAATTAGGGATACGGATGCTTTTCTTTTTCTTTTCGAAACTAAATTCATACAATAATGTCATATTTTAATTTTCTGAGTGAAAAGTCTCTCTCTTCATTTAATTGAGGAAGCAGACTATTCCCTCTAATGTTACCTTCTCGAACATGCAAACATTTTCAATTTTGAAACTAACTATCACTTAACTTCAACTCACTAACTTTCACTCCTTCATGCATCAAAATAAACTTTTCTATCTAATAATTGATGACTGAAGTTTGAAGCGGATTAGCATAGTATAGTAATGATATGATATGATATGATATGATATGATATGATATAAAACTTTCTATTCATTATTGATAACAATTAAAGTGAAACATAATTGACAAAGAAAGATGAACAAATAATGAGCATAAATGGAGAACTATGTAACTCTAACATACATAGACGATACGATTGTATTTTGTGTTAATGAGGCAAATGCTAATTAAGGCTAAGATTTCAGGTGAGACAGACGTACGTACGTGAGTAAGGGTGAATGGCTATTGTCATCCCGTGTGTGTCTCTCTGGAAATAACTAGTTTACTCGATTTAGTCAAGTGCTGATGAAAAGTTGTTTACATATGAATGATTGTTCGGGGAATAATTCATGACAAAATGATGAAGATAGTGCAGCAAATTATATTCAATATACCCACTCAATAATGTCTCCGAAATCATCACCGTGATATTACATTTCGATTTTACAACTTTCCCAAAAATTATAGATGCGCTTTCCTTGTCTCATTGACATTTCCATCGTTATATCCCAGTCATTTTTCCATAAAAAGTTTCCAAAGTAATATTTCAACTAAGAACATTATCAATTCAAACGGAGTAATTTTTTTCTAAATCCGAAAATGAAATTGTGCTTCAAAAATGTATTTGAACATATAATTCGTGTATTTGACACCCTTTCGATGCTGTCACATTCTCATCATTTTTGCTATTTTAGGAAAAATTTCCTCAGAAAAGTACAACTTGTCAGGTTTGAAAATATTCGGTAGTGAATACTTGTCGATTATTAACGAATTTTTTTTCCATTTTTCTTTACATATTATGCTTCAAATAAATTAAACATCCAATGCCACACGACACTCAATGTGTTTGTCAAATATGTGTGTGCGGGTAAGGCTTAAATTAAACTTTTGCTCATTTTTTACTAATTATAATAAAGCAAAATTGTTTCGAGACTTTTATTTTGTCATTTTTAAGATTGGGACACAAATAGTAGTGTATAATACATTTCAGAAGGATTTGTTTCAGGAGACATCGCTGCCCGAACAATCGAAATGCTAGCTCAATTTGCATCGGAACTTCAAATCAAAATACTTTTTATAAAAAGGTAAGTTTGGACTAAATTTTCTCGGAACAAATTTTTTGCGAACAAATCTGCCATGAGATGATTTCAAAACAGCAAACAAACAATTTTTCATCTACTTCAGGCAAAGATTAATCTATAATTAGTAATTCTTTCATAATTTCTCTTCAAGAATTAATACTTCAGGAGTATGCCGTAATCACCGGAGATAATCATTCAAAAGTAATCAGGAAACCCGAGAAATCTTCCGTTAAAGATCACATTGATCTCAGTGATGGATGCATGATCAGTGTTTGCTTTTATGTTAATTCACTAAACAAAGACAATAATTTTTTTTGTTACTTTCATAATGGAATTTTTATTTACATGAAAGATTTCAGTCCTTTTCTATGAGAACTTTTGAAAGCTTCCATTTATTTACTGCAACTGTAAAAGTTCTTAATTTCAGCAGCTATCTGGAAGGTTCAACTTTTGATGAAGGAGAAACACTCCAGAATGATCCTTCTGAGAAATATTTTTTAGAGTGTTGTCAGTGAAAGTCAATGCGCACAAGAAGGCGCAAAATTTGCAGCAAATGAAAATGCAAATGTGGCGCAATTTCACACAGATGCAAAAGAGAAAGCTGTGAATACGCGTATGAGTTCGAGTGTTTTGCGACGTCGAAATTATGAATCCTCGGTAGGGTATTATTGAAATTGGCGAGGAAATTCTCATATATGTCTGCGCTGTTGCGTATTAAATCTTTGGACTACAATGCTATAAAGGTTACCTACCTTATTTTTTCGGTCTAAAACAAAAAGAAAAATCAGTCACCTATGACTCTGTTTTACCTCTCCCTTCTTGCTGATTCACGTTGGAAGAATTGCAAGTATTTCTTTCATTCTTTAATCTATTTTCAAAGTATTCGTTTTAAATTTGAGTCAGAACTGATGATTGAGAGTTAACGATTTCATTACATCTCACTTTGTTCACTGAACCTTTCATATCATCCGTTGCCTTTTTAAAAAGCTTTCTGAAATTATCAAATAAAGCTTTAAGTAACTCGAACTCCCCTCAAATTTCATCTGATTCGAAATAATTTTGCAGATTGTTTTCGGAAGTGACAAGGACAATAGTCAACCAAATGGAGGCAGAGAAAATAATTTTGCCCGTGAGGAATTAAAAAATTAAGAAATGAATGGAGATTTCTCCTCGAATTTCTTTTTTAAATATTATGATATTCAGCTGTATTATTTAGTAAATGTTTTTTGAGATTGTTATAATTTTTTTTAACATCATTTACAGTTACAGGTGAAAGGTCATTACGTCAGTACTCTAGCAAGTATGAAGATCCTTTCAACGGTGACAATAAACATTCAGTTATAGTTGGACGTCGAAAAGACCGATCAGCTGAGACACGTGATAACGTTGGCTTGATTTTGCAATCGATTGATGTTAGCAGTTTAATTTTTGTTTAGGAAATTTGAAATCAACGATTTTTAAATCGTTTTGAAATATTCATATATACTGTTTAATAGGTTATGCAATTTTACTAGATGTTCATGAATTCACTTTTTTTCATTTTTCATCTTCTCCTTTCTATGATTTTCGATCTATAATTCAACACTAAACTACTAGAAAGAATTTATGAATTCAAATCAAGAAAATGCTCCAAATTTTTAAAGTGAAAAAGTGAGAAAGAATTATTTCACCAATTTTTCAAGAAATATTCTTTCATTAAGAAAAGTTTCTATAAATATTACATTAAAAAAATTGTTATGAATTTATCAACTCAGACGTAATTTTATTCTTCTTGACAATTAATTGAGATATTATTTGTTAAATATTTAAAGACTTTAACTAGATAAGATATTTGAGCCAAGATGATTCGGTGAAGTGGTAAATCTGCAGAATAGTTCAGGTTTGTCCTGTTTAGTTGACATGTAATTAACTAAGGCAGATGACATGTCTGCATAGTCTTTTAAAAATAATAAAAGGTTATTGCGAATGATTAAGAAATTGTCTTCTCTTCCTTAATTAGTACATATAAACCACTTCCTTACTGACTTAGCAATCTTTTCATCATTTCATTTTCCTCTAAATATTTGCTTCCATCTTTTCTTCATCATTTATTTATTTGACTGAGAAATTCATTCCTTATATCTCTCTAAAAAATTTTTCCACAAGTTTTTGACAACTAAGAAAAGTGAAAAATGTCCACTAATGAAATTATAACATTGTAAATTCTTTGTTTAATTTTAATCGAACAGATTTACTGATTTTTCACTTCTATTCTACTAAATACGTTTTCCAACTACAAACTGGAATTATCTGGAATTTATAAAATTGAATAGAATTTGTTAGTTCGACTAAAAAAAAAAAAAGAACAATTATAGTAATAAAAAAACAATAACACACAATAATAGGTCACTAAGCTTTTTGAACTGTGTAACTTTATCAGAAAACCTCCATTAACAAATGAATATAAGAATAAAAGCTATTGGAAATGAATTTATGTTTAAGCTTGATAAGCTTGAACTAAAGTTACTTAACACGTTTAAGAGAAGCGTACGTCAAGAAGATGAGACAGAAAGAAGTCACCGCTACAATAGAACAAAAGGGAGATACCAACATAGTGAGATCCTTTCTGGCAATAAAATATCGCTACCACCAGTCTATGCCAGGACTGAACATACCGCAAAAACCAACGAGCGAAGCGGAGTCAAACGACCTACCAAATCAGAAATATGGGAGGTAAAAAAATTTAAATCAAATAATGACTAGCTATTCAAATACTATTTATAGCAGATATGAAAAGTTTCTGTCATTTTTCAGGCGAAAATATTTTAATATGGTCATATAGCATTAACCCAGAAAAATCCTCCTAGCAGCAAAACAAAATGATCAGAACGTTTTCAAAAAAAAAAAAAAAAAACTGATTAGAAAAACAGAAAAAAATAATGACAACAATCAAGCATTAAATTATAGGATTCCGATATTTCGTATGGTGACGGATCCTTCATATCGGAAACACAAACAAGTACTGAATTTACAGCGAAAAAAGTTGAACGATACGATGCGAAACGTCCAGTTGAATCTGATTTATGGAAGGTTTGCTTCATTTTAATTTAATAAAATCGTAAAATCTTGAAATTCGTCTAAATTAAAGCGATCGGATTGGTTTCAGAGGGAAGGACATATCACCAGTGAAACGGTTTCGCATCAGGATTATGTAGGCAGGACAGGAGAGCGATATCCGGCATCAAAACCGCAAGATTCCGATGTTTTACATGGTGACGGATCCTTCATATCGGAAACACAAACAAGTACTGAATTTACAGCGAAAAAAGGTGAACGATACGATGCGAAACGTCCAGTTGAATCTGATTTATGGAAGGTTTGCTTCATTTTAATTTAATAAAATCGTAAAATCTTGAAATTCGTCTAAATTAAAGCGATCGGATTGGTTTCAGAGGGAAGGACATATCACCAGTGAAACGGTTTCGCATCAGGATTATGTAGGCAGGACAGGAGAGCGATATCCGGCATCAAAACCGCAAGATTCCGATGTTTTACATGGTGACGGATCCTTCATATCGGAAACACAAACAAGTACTGAATTTACAGCGAAAAAAGGTGAACGATACGATGCGAAACGTCCAGTTGAATCTGATTTATGGAAGGTTTGCTTCATTTTAATTTAATAAAATCGTAAAATCTTGAAATTCGTCTAAATTAAAGCGATCGGATTGGTTTCAGAGGGAAGGACATATCACCAGTGAAACGGTTTCGCATCAGGATTATGTAGGCAGGACAGGAGAGCGATATCCGGCATCAAAACCGCAAGATTCCGATGTTTTACATGGTGACGGATCCTTCATATCGGAAACACAAACAAGTACTGAATTTACAGCGAAAAAAGGTGAACGATACGATGCGAAACGTCCAGTTGAATCTGATTTATGGAAGGTTTGCTTCATTTTAATTTAATAAAATCGTAAAATCTTGAAATTTGTCCTATTTTCGGGATTGGTTTCAGAGAGAAGGACATATCATCAGCGAAATGGTTTCGCATCAGGATTATGTAGGCAGGACAGGAGAGCGATATCCGGCATCAAAACCGCAAGATTCCGATGTTTTACATGGTGACGGATCCTTCATATCGGAAACACAAACAAGTACTGAATTTACAGCGAAAAAAGGTGAACGATACGATGCGAAACGTCCAGTTGAATCTGATTTATGGAAGGTTTGCTTCATTTTAATTTAATAAAATCGTAAAATCTTGAAATTCGTCTAAATTAAAGCGATCGGATTGGTTTCAGAGGGAAGGACATATCACCAGTGAAACGGTTTCGCATCAGGATTATGTAGGCAGGACAGGAGAGCGATATCCGGCATCAAAACCGCAAGATTCCGATGTTTTACATGGTGACGGATCCTTCATATCGGAAACACAAACAAGTACTGAATTTACAGCGAAAAAAGGTGAACGATACGATGCGAAACGTCCAGTTGAATCTGATTTATGGAAGGTTTGCTTCATTTTAATTAATAAAATCGTAAAATCTTGAAATTTGTCCTATTTTCGGGATTGGTTTCAGAGAGAAGGACATATCATCAGCGAAACGGTTTCGCATCAGGATTATGTAGGCAGGACAGGAGAGCGATATCCGGCATCAAAACCGCAAGATTCCGATGTTTTACATGGTGACGGATCCTTCATATCGGAAACACAAACAAGTACTGAATTTACAGCGAAAAAAGGTGAACGATACGATGCGAAACGTCCAGTTGAATCTGATTTATGGAAGGTTTGCTTCATTTTAATTTAATAAAATCGTAAAATCTTGAAATTTGTCCTATTTTCGGGATTGGTTTCAGAGAGAAGGACATATCATCAGCGAAACGGTTTCGCATCAGGATTATGTAGGCAGGACAGGAGAGCGATATCCGGCATCAAAACCGCAAGATTCCGATGTTTTACATGCTGACGGATCCTTCATATCGGAAACACAAACAAGTACTGAATTTACAGCGAAAAAAGGTGAACGATACGATGCGAAACGTCCAGTTGAATCTGATTTATGGAAGGTTTGCTTCATTTTAATTTAATAAAATCGTAAAATCTTGAAATTTGTCCTATTTTCGGGATTGGTTTCAGAGAGAAGGACATATCATCAGCGAAACGGTTTCGCATCAGGATTATGTAGGCAGGACAGGAGAGCGATATCCGGCATCAAAACCGCAAGATTCCGATGTTTTACATGGTGACGGATCCTTCATATCGGAAACACAAACAAGTACTGAATTTACAGCGAAAAAAGGTGAACGATACGATGCGAAACGTCCAGTTGAATCTGATTTATGGAAGGTTTGCTTCATTTTAATTAATAAAATCGTAAAATCTTGAAATTTGTCCTATTTTCGGGATTGGTTTCAGAGAGAAGGACATATCATCAGCGAAACGGTTTCGCATCAGGATTATGTAGGCAGGACAGGAGAGCGATATCCGGCATCAAAACCGCAAGATTCCGATGTTTTACATGGTGACGGATCCTTCATATCGGAAACACAAACAAGTACTGAATTTACAGCGAAAAAAGGTGAACGATACGATGCGAAACGTCCAGTTGAATCTGATTTATGGAAGGTTTGCTTCATTTTAATTTAATAAAATCGTAAAATCTTGAAATTTGTCCTATTTTCGGGATTGGTTTCAGAGAGAAGGACATATCATCAGCGAAACGGTTTCGCATCAGGATTATGTAGGCAGGACAGGAGAGCGATATCCGGCATCAAAACCGCAAGATTCCGATGTTTTACATGGTGACGGATCCTTCATATCGGAAACACAAACAAGTACTGAATTTACAGCGAAAAAAGGTGAACGATACGATGCGAAACGTCCAGTTGAATCTGATTTATGGAAGGTTTGCTTCATTTTAATTTAATAAAATCGTAAAATCTTGAAATTCGTCTAAATTAAAGCGATCGGATTGGTTTCAGAGGGAAGGACATATCACCAGTGAAACGGTTTCGCATCAGGATTATGTAGGCAGGACAGGAGAGCGATATCCGGCATCAAAACCGCAAGATTCCGATGTTTTACATGGTGACGGATCCTTCATATCGGAAACACAAACAAGTACTGAATTTACAGCGAAAAAAGGTGAACGATACGATGCGAAACGTCCAGTTGAATCTGATTTATGGAAGGTTTGCTTCATTTTAATTTAATAAAATCGTAAAATCTTGAAATTTGTCCTATTTTCGGGATTGGTTTCAGCGACCGGATTGATTTCAGAGAGAAGGACATATCATCAGTGAAACGGTTTCGCATCAGGATTATGTAGGCAGGACAGGAGAGCGATATCCGGCATCAAAACCGCAAGATTCCGATGTTTTACATGGTGACGGATCCTTCACATCGGAAACACAAACAAGTACTGAATTTACAGCGAAAAAAGGTGAACGATACGATGCGAAACGTCCAGTTGAATCTGATTTATGGAAGGTTTGCTTCATTTTAATTTAATAAAATCGTAAAATCTTGAAATTTGTCCTATTTTCGGGATTGGTTTCAGAGAGAAGGACATATCATCAGCGAAACGGTTTCGCATCAGGATTATGTAGGCAGGACAGGAGAGCGATATCCGGCATCAAAACCGCAAGATTCCGATGTTTTACATGGTGACGGATCCTTCATATCGGAAACACAAACAAGTACTGAATTTACAGCGAAAAAAGGTGAACGATACGATGCGAAACGTCCAGTTGAATCTGATTTATGGAAGGTTTGCTTCATTTTAATTTAATAAAATCGTAAAATCTTGAAATTCGTCTAAATTAAAGCGATCGGATTGGTTTCAGAGGGAAGGACATATCACCAGTGAAACGGTTTCGCATCAGGATTATGTAGGCAGGACAGGAGAGCGATATCCGGCATCAAAACCGCAAGATTCCGATGTTTTACATGGTGACGGATCCTTCATATCGGAAACACAAACAAGTACTGAATTTACAGCGAAAAAAGGTGAACGATACGATGCGAAACGTCCAGTTGAATCTGATTTATGGAAGGTTTGCTTCATTTTAATTTAATAAAATCGTAAAATCTTGAAATTCGTCTAAATTAAAGCGATCGGATTGGTTTCAGAGGGAAGGACATATCACCAGTGAAACGGTTTCGCATCAGGATTATGTAGGCAGGACAGGAGAGCGATATCCGGCATCAAAACCGCAAGATTCCGATGTTTTACATGGTGACGGATCCTTCATATCGGAAACACAAACAAGTACTGAATTTACAGCGAAAAAAGGTGAACGATACGATGCGAAACGTCCAGTTGAATCTGATTTATGGAAGGTTTGCTTCATTTTAATTTAATAAAATCGTAAAATCTTGTAATTTGTCCTATTTTCGGGATTGGTTTCAGCGACCGGATTGATTTCAGAGAGAAGGACATATCATCAGTGAAACGGTTTCGCATCAGGATTATGTAGGCAGGACAGGAGAGCGATATCCGGCATCAAAACCGCAAGATTCCGATGTTTTACATGGTGACGGATCCTTCATATCGGAAACACAAACAAGTACTGAATTTACAGCGAAAAAAGGTGAACGATACGATGCGAAACGTCCAGTTGAATCTGATTTATGGAAGGTTTGCTTCATTTTAATTAATAAAATCGTAAAATCTTGAAATTTGTCCTATTTTCGGGATTGGTTTCAGAGAGAAGGACATATCATCAGCGAAACGGTTTCGCATCAGGATTATGTAGGCAGGACAGGAGAGCGATATCCGGCATCAAAACCGCAAGATTCCGATGTTTTACATGGTGACGGATCCTTCATATCGGAAACACAAACAAGTACTGAATTTACAGCGAAAAAAGGTGAACGATACGATGCGAAACGTCCAGTTGAATCTGATTTATGGAAGGTTTGCTTCATTTTAATTTAATAAAATCGTAAAATCTTGAAATTTGTCCTATTTTCGGGATTGGTTTCAGAGAGAAGGACATATCATCAGCGAAACGGTTTCGCATCAGGATTATGTAGGCAGGACAGGAGAGCGATATCCGGCATCAAAACCGCAAGATTCCGATGTTTTACATGGTGACGGATCCTTCATATCGGAAACACAAACAAGTACTGAATTTACAGCGAAAAAAGGTGAACGATACGATGCGAAACGTCCAGTTGAATCTGATTTATGGAAGGTTTGCTTCATTTTAATTAATAAAATCGTAAAATCTTGAAATTTGTCCTATTTTCGGGATTGGTTTCAGAGAGAAGGACATATCATCAGCGAAACGGTTTCGCATCAGGATTATGTAGGCAGGACAGGAGAGCGATATCCGGCATCAAAACCGCAAGATTCCGATGTTTTACATGGTGACGGATCCTTCATATCGGAAACACAAACAAGTACTGAATTTACAGCGAAAAAAGGTGAACGATACGATGCGAAACGTCCAGTTGAATCTGATTTATGGAAGGTTTGCTTCATTTTAATTTAATAAAATCGTAAAATCTTGAAATTTGTCCTATTTTCGGGATTGGTTTCAGAGAGAAGGACATATCATCAGCGAAACGGTTTCGCATCAGGATTATGTAGGCAGGACAGGAGAGCGATATCCGGCATCAAAACCGCAAGATTCCGATGTTTTACATGCTGACGGATCCTTCATATCGGAAACACAAACAAGTACTGAATTTACAGCGATAAAAGGTGAACGATACGATGCGAAACGTCCAGTTGAATCTGATTTATGGAAGGTTTGCTTCATTTTAATTAATAAAATCGTAAAATCTTGAAATTTGTCCTATTTTCGGGATTGGTTTCAGCGACCGGATTGATTTCAGAGAGAAGGACATATCATCAGTGAAACGGTTTCGCATCAGGATTATGTAGGCAGGACAGGAGAGCGATATCCGGCATCAAAACCGCAAGATTCCGATGTTTTACATGGTGACGGATCCTTCACATCGGAAACACAAACAAGTACTGAATTTACAGCGAAAAAAGGTGAACGATACGATGCGAAACGTCCAGTTGAATCTGATTTATGGAAGGTTTGCTTCATTTTAATTAATAAAATCGTAAAATCTTGAAATTTGTCCTATTTTCGGGATTGGTTTCAGCGACCGGATTGATTTCAGAGAGAAGGACATATCATCAGTGAAACGGTTTCGCATCAGGATTATGTAGGCAGGACAGGAGAGCGATATCCGGCATCAAAACCGCAAGATTCCGATGTTTTACATGGTGACGGATCCTTCACATCGGAAACACAAACAAGTACTGAATTTACAGCGAAAAAAGGTGAACGATACGATGCGAAACGTCCAGTTGAATCTGATTTATGGAAGGTTTGCTTCATTTTAATTTAATAAAATCGTAAAATCTTGAAATTTGTCCTATTTTCGGGATTGGTTTCAGAGAGAAGGACATATCATCAGCGAAACGGTTTCGCATCAGGATTATGTAGGCAGGACAGGAGAGCGATATCCGGCATCAAAACCGCAAGATTCCGATGTTTTACATGGTGACGGATCCTTCATATCGGAAACACAAACAAGTACTGAATTTACAGCGAAAAAAGGTGAACGATACGATGCGAAACGTCCAGTTGAATCTGATTTATGGAAGGTTTGCTTCATTTTAATTAATAAAATCGTAAAATCTTGAAATTTGTCCTATTTTCGGGATTGGTTTCAGAGAGAAGGACATATCATCAGCGAAACGGTTTCGCATCAGGATTATGTAGGCAGGACAGGAGAGCGATATCCGGCATCAAAACCGCAAGATTCCGATGTTTTACATGGTGACGGATCCTTCATATCGGAAACACAAACAAGTACTGAATTTACAGCGAAAAAAGGTGAACGATACGATGCGAAACGTCCAGTTGAATCTGATTTATGGAAGGTTTGCTTCATTTTAATTTAATAAAATCGTAAAATCTTGAAATTTGTCCTATTTTCGGGATTGGTTTCAGAGAGAAGGACATATCATCAGCGAAACGGTTTCGCATCAGGATTATGTAGGCAGGACAGGAGAGCGATATCCGGCATCAAAACCGCAAGATTCCGATGTTTTACATGGTGACGGATCCTTCATATCGGAAACACAAACAAGTACTGAATTTACAGCGAAAAAAGGTGAACGATATGATGCGAAACGTCCAGTTGAATCTGATTTATGGAAGGTTTGCTTCATTTTAATTAATAAAATCGTAAAATCTTGAAATTTGTCCTATTTTCGGGATTGGTTTCAGAGAGAAGGACATATCATCAGCGAAACGGTTTCGCATCAGGATTATGTAGGCAGGACAGGAGAGCGATATCCGGCATCAAAACCGCAAGATTCCGATGTTTTACATGCTGACGGATCCTTCATATCGGAAACACAAACAAGTACTGAATTTACAGCGAAAAAAGGTGAACGATACGATGCGAAACGTCCAGTTGAATCTGATTTATGGAAGGTTTGCTTCATTTTAATTAATAAAATCGTAAAATCTTGAAATTTGTCCTATTTTCGGGATTGGTTTCAGCGACCGGATTGATTTCAGAGAGAAGGACATATCATCAGCGAAACGGTTTCGCATCAGGATTATGTAGGCAGGACAGGAGAGCGATATCCGGCATCAAAACCGCAAGATTCCGATGTTTTACATGGTGACGGATCCTTCACATCGGAAACACAAACAAGTACTGAATTTACAGCGAAAAAAGGTGAACGATACGATGCGAAACGTCCAGTTGAATCTGATTTATGGAAGGTTTGCTTCATTTTAATTTAATAAAATCGTAAAATCTTGAAATTTGTCCTATTTTCGGGATTGGTTTCAGAGAGAAGGACATATCATCAGCGAAACGGTTTCGCATCAGGATTATGTAGGCAGGACAGGAGAGCGATATCCGGCATCAAAACCGCAAGATTCCGATGTTTTACATGGTGACGGATCCTTCATATCGGAAACACAAACAAGTACTGAATTTACAGCGAAAAAAGGTGAACGATACGATGCGAAACGTCCAGTTGAATCTGATTTATGGAAGGTTTGCTTCATTTTAATTAATAAAATCGTAAAATCTTGAAATTTGTCCTATTTTCGGGATTGGTTTCAGAGAGAAGGACATATCATCAGCGAAACGGTTTCGCATCAGGATTATGTAGGCAGGACAGGAGAGCGATATCCGGCATCAAAACCGCAAGATTCCGATGTTTTACATGGTGACGGATCCTTCATATCGGAAACACAAACAAGTACTGAATTTACAGCGAAAAAAGGTGAACGATACGATGCGAAACGTCCAGTTGAATCTGATTTATGGAAGGTTTGCTTCATTTTAATTTAATAAAATCGTAAAATCTTGAAATTTGTCCTATTTTCGGGATTGGTTTCAGAGAGAAGGACATATCATCAGCGAAACGGTTTCGCATCAGGATTATGTAGGCAGGACAGGAGAGCGATATCCGGCATCAAAACCGCAAGATTCCGATGTTTTACATGGTGACGGATCCTTCATATCGGAAACACAAACAAGTACTGAATTTACAGCGAAAAAAGGTGAACGATATGATGCGAAACGTCCAGTTGAATCTGATTTATGGAAGGTTTGCTTCATTTTAATTAATAAAATCGTAAAATCTTGAAATTTGTCCTATTTTCGGGATTGGTTTCAGAGAGAAGGACATATCATCAGCGAAACGGTTTCGCATCAGGATTATGTAGGCAGGACAGGAGAGCGATATCCGGCATCAAAACCGCAAGATTCCGATGTTTTACATGCTGACGGATCCTTCATATCGGAAACACAAACAAGTACTGAATTTACAGCGAAAAAAGGTGAACGATACGATGCGAAACGTCCAGTTGAATCTGATTTATGGAAGGTTTGCTTCATTTTAATTAATAAAATCGTAAAATCTTGAAATTTGTCCTATTTTCGGGATTGGTTTCAGCGACCGGATTGATTTCAGAGAGAAGGACATATCATCAGCGAAACGGTTTCGCATCAGGATTATGTAGGCAGGACAGGAGAGCGATATCCGGCATCAAAACCGCAAGATTCCGATGTTTTACATGGTGACGGATCCTTCACATCGGAAACACAAACAAGTACTGAATTTACAGCGAAAAAAGGTGAACGATACGATGCGAAACGTCCAGTTGAATCTGATTTATGGAAGGTTTGCTGCATTTTAATTTAATTAAATCGTAAAATCTTGAAATTTGTCCTATTTTCGGGATTGGTTTCAGCGACCGGATTGATTTCAGAGAGAAGGACATATCATCAGTGAAACGGTTTCGCATCAGGATTATGTAGGCAGGACAGGAGAGCGATATCCGGCATCAAAACCGCAAGATTCCGATGTTTTACATGGTGACGGATCCTTCACATCGGAAACACAAACAAGTACTGAATTTACAGCGAAAAAAGGTGAACGATACGATGCGAAACGTCCAGTTGAATCTGATTTATGGAAGGTTTGCTGCATTTTAATTTAATTAAATCGTAAAATCTTGAAATTTGTCCTATTTTCGGGATTGGTTTCAGCGACCGGATTGATTTCAGAGAGAAGGACATATCATCAGTGAAACGGTTTCGCATCAGGATTATGTAGGCAGGACAGGAGAGCGATATCCGGCATCAAAACCGCAAGATTCCGATGTTTTACATGGTGACGGATCCTTCATATCGGAAACACAAACAAGTACTGAATTTACAGCGAAAAAAGGTGAACGATACGATGCGAAATGTCCAGTTGAATCTGATTTATGGAAGGTTTGCTTCATTTTAATTTAATAAAATCGTAAAATCTTGAAATTTGTCCTATTTTCGGGATTGGTTTCAGAGAGAAGGACATATCATCAGCGAAACGGTTTCGCATCAGGATTATGTAGGCAGGACAGGAGAGCGATATCCGGCATCAAAACCGCAAGATTCCGATGTTTTACATGGTGACGGATCCTTCACATCGGAAACACAAACAAGTACTGAATTTACAGCGAAAAAAGGTGAACGATACGATGCGAAACGTCCAGTTGAATCTGATTTATGGAAGGTTTGCTGCATTTTAATTTAATGAAATCGTAAAAGTTAGAAATTTTTCCAATTCAAAGCGATCGCATTGGTTTCAGCATTTGAAAATAATGGCGATACTGTCGGATTTTTTATTGTTTGATTTTCCATTTTATTGAAGTTTGTTTTTTTTTTTTTCGTCTTACGGTTGAATAGCCTTTTGAATTATGGATACTGATCTCGTAACCCTAATTTTTCTGTGGAGATAATAGCAGAGGAATAACTGTTCATCAATCCGAACTTACCTGATGAGATTTGATTAGGATATGAGCAGATACTGACGGATTGTTTTGTGGATAATAAAAGTTTGCGCTTTGTTAAAACTTTTGTCAGTAACGTGGACCTAACGGAAGGCGCGATAATCTCGATGAAAACTCGGTTGCAAAGTTTGAAACAAAATGTCCAGCAGCAATGCTTAGTTTTTTATGAATTTCATAAAAAAGGGACATCACTCCTTTTTGGAATCCACAAGAATCAAACGTTCTCCGTGAAAGCCAATAATTGTTTGTAGTTGAAAGATAAAATCGGACAGATTATGCGTGGTATTGTATAGACGATGGTTAATAGTGCTATGAGCGGATTATTTGAGAAATCAGTATTTTTTCTTGAGTTTCAGGTGTCATTCGAGAACGCCGGTGAGACTAATTTTTCTTGTCAGTTGTAAAGACGAATGCTTGTTTTTGTATGTCGATTCCTGTGCAGTTTTTGATATCAGTTCAGTACTTTTAGGAGTTTGTTTGAAGCAATGAAATATTTCCGTTTTATTTTTTTGGATCCTCTAAATTTTTTCTAACAATATTGCTTCAATGAGGAACGTAGTAGTTTTTGTCTTGAAGTTGACTGATAAACAGTATCGGAATACAATATCGGATAATTTCTCTTTATATCGCTGTCAAATAATTATTGCACTAGAAATAGCGAAACGCAAATGCAAAGTTGAATTTGAGCAGATATAAGGAATTCACGGAAATAAGGACAGGAATCTTCAATTTCCGACTAAATGGACTTAATAAAAAAAAAAAATATTACTGCTGGATTATGAAGAATTATAAAAATTGAGAGAAAAAATAGGAATTCTAGAATTTAGGAAGAAAAAAAAAAAGGAATTTAGAAAGTTCGCCTTACTTATCCATTAATCATTCTTAATTCATTTGTAGATTGACGGGAAATTTGAAACGAAAAGTGTTAGTCGGCGAGATTTCTGCCCTAAAAAAGGAGAGCGATGTGCAATTAAGAAACCATGCGATACAGATATTTTATTTGGTGATGGTTCATTCCGAACCGAAACACATTCGCAGGTTGAATTCACCGCCAAAAGAGCGGACAAATTTGAAATTGTAAGGCCTGGCAGTGGGGGAATTTGGAAAGTTAGTAATTAGGGGTCAATTCTTAGGAATTTCTTACATATTAGTGACTTGTGCAATTGTCAACTATTACTGAATGTATCACTGCGCTGTTCCAGACCTGTAATTCCTAATATCCTCATTATAGGAACAAGAAAAACAAGATGAATCGGTGAAAAATGAAGTGGTGAAAAAATGCAGCGGCAGTAAAGGATGTACGGAAAACTTAAGAGTAGCAGATTCAGAGCGCGTTGTGTACGACATAGTGGATCGCAGCAGATCACGTACCGAGAACTGTTGGACAGCATATACGGAGACGTTTTATGAAGGAGTACCAGCAGAGGATGTTCGACGCGTTATTCAGCACAAAAATCACGAATTCAAACTTCTCGAGAGTTTGTTGAAACGTTTAATAATATGGATAATTTCTATGGCCGGTCTTATCACAGCACGAAATCTCTGTCGGATGATTCTCCTCGTAAAGAATTTATGAATTTACTAATTAATAGCAAACAGTTGATTTTAGGTCATCTTGAAGACCGAACCATCTGTCACACATCGTTCAATATGCCAGAAGCATCCTCGAAGGAAGTTCTGATGGCGCCAAGTAAACTGCAAGAATCAGTGCTTTGGCAAAACGGTCAAATGAAAGTGGAATCGCAGTATAATACTGTAAGCTTGTCGAAATTTTTAAGTTAAACATAATTTTCAAGAGAAAATGTGCCGTGGAGAACTGTTAAATTTTCTGCATTAATGGCTTACATTCAACATGCATGTTTAAAGCTAAGTCACAAATTTAAGTTAAAATCCTAACCCATTCTTTGCTATCAACTTAAAGATATTATGTTTAAACGTTCTGGCGTAATTGACACTTGCTTCCTATATGTCACCGTACCTGAAAATAATCTTTTCATTAATCTTTGTTCCTTGAAAAGAATTTCAATAGTTAATTTCTGATTTGCAGGATTTTGTGCCGAAGTTGAAACCATGTCCAGCTGGCGAACTGATTAAGTCGATCGCTAAGAATCATTCCTCAACAGAACATTTCGAATTCTATCGCATTCTTGGAGGTCATCACTTCTATGAACCAAAAGCTGATGATGTGTAAATGGAAGAACTTGGTCAGTTTCAATAATATCAAAGTTCCAATTCCGAATTCCAACTAAATTTTGAACTTAAAACTTAGACATACTTCTAGCATTTAAAACTTCAGCACTTTTTATATATTGCCACTTCCATTTCCTCATTATCATTAATTATTTGTTTGTGTATGAAATATTTCTTTTAAATTTTTCCTGTAAATTCTTGTTCTGAACTTATCTTTCTCAACATATGTTCTTAAAGTCCAATGACGCTCGTCAGGTCTATATTATTGGAAATATTTGGCATCATTTAGTGATTGCTATTTCCGAAAATGATATATTGCGTAGAGACTTCGCGAGAGCTCCAATTTCATCGACAGTAATCATTTTTTGATCTTTCTTTAATTTCTTCTTTCCAATTGATTTTCCCGCAATTACACAAAAAAGAAGTCCTTCACTTGTTATGAATGGCTTTATTGATCCTGCAGCAATCTTAGCCCTTTTCAATAAGCAGTATTGTCTGCATGGATGAAGAAGGTCATCGCTAAAATAAAATGAAGCCATGATAATAAGGCGTAGTTTTATTTGGAAAAACCATAGAAACTTCAGATACCAGTACTGCTTATAGCAAGTTCTATATCCGCGTAGATAATGCTGTTGGCACATACTGTCTCCTTCTTCATTCTTTCTTAACTTTGTTTATCGTAACTTTGTGATAAGAATCCCTGGATGTATGTAATGTTATCGATATATATATATATATATATATATATATATATATATATATATACACGTGTATAAATGCAAAATACGAAGATCAATAAATCAAGTCATTTTCGCATTATAACGGAATTTTCAAAGTAAACCTTAAATTACTGAATTTGAATAATTCCTCTATTTGTCATTCCTAAGAAGACATTAGATTTCCTGATGCAAGTGACAGTTCTAATTTACACACTTAATCTACACTCAAATCAGGTCATCACAATACAAACTTCAACGGCATAAGCAATTATTTCACTCATGAAAATGTAGCTCTACACTAGAACACCAAGTTAAATAGAAGGTGAAAGAAAGGATACAGATATATAGCAAAAATATAAACAGATTTTATCTTTTTATCAGCTCTACAGATAACATTATTAGACTGCAACTAGTTATCTCTGTATTCTGTATTATAGGACAATATAACCTGTAGAACGAGTGTCAGAGAATGGATAACGTCAGATTTTTGTTAAACGAACGCAGTTCTAAGAATTAGAAAACAAAGTTATTAGTTGCAATTTCTTGGTTTACTATTACAAGTAATAGGATTGTCGATATTAGAATCCGATGCAAATATATTTCCATTGCGAGAATTCATCTATACCTTGTGAACCACCTTCACGACCTAAACCGCTTTCCTTCATTCCACCGAAAGCTGCCTCCGCGCAAGATACTAATCCTAAAACGACTGGATTTAATCTGAATTAGAATTTCGAAAGACATGAAATCTCTACATTTATTGGTAACGATAAGCGTGTTTAGCTATATGTACATCCAGTGATGTTATGGAACATTACAGAATTTAAGAGTAATTGATCAGCATACCTTCATTGATACCGATAATTCCAACCTGCAAGTTATGGCTAACACGTAGTATCTGAGCATATTCCGTTGTGAATATATAACCTTAAAGTTTATTTCTATCAAAAAATGTCGTTGTGTAAATAATAAAGAGATTCCCTCAATAATTTCCTACCCGACGTACATTGAGGTAAGACTGAGGTAAAATACGAATGATGCCAACAGAATACCTTTTGTTTTGCATTCAAGTGACCCGAAAATAGTTCATCTTTATCACAATCACCTCTTTATCTTTAAAATCAAACCAGCAAAGGAATGGCGACAAAATACAGTAAGTTCGAAAAACAACAGAAAAGTAGCTGATTCATTTTAGAAAAGATCAATGTTTGTTTTATCTGTAATAAAATTTAAGATATTACTAAACTAACCAGCTAGGCCAGTTCTGCAGCAGTTTGCCAGTGCCAAAACCTCTTCCTCCGTTTCGAACCTGAAATGCAGATGTTCTTCTGCGCATTATCCTTACTGATTCTGGATGCAAGCAAGAAGCAATATTTAGACTCGTTAAGGAGTGCAGAGCATCGAAAGGAATGCAATTTCCATTTTCAGAAATTGACTAACTTTTGGATAGCGAGAACGGGACCAAATATTTCAGTGTGGACAATATCCATATCATTGGTTACGTTAATCAGCAACGTTGGATTGAAACAGGTTGTTTGAGGAATACGTTTTCCACCCAATACTACATGTGCTCCCTTTTGAGTTGCATCTGATAGCAAGTTTTCAACCTTTAACTTTTAATAATAGTTAGTTAAATTAAGAAAGTTTTTCATTGATCTTAATTTTTGTATGCTTCTACAAAACTGCCTTATTATGACTAAGTATGGTTAAAAACTATGTAAATTACTCCTTAAACACTAAGTTTTATTATCATTACGCAAATCAATCAATTCATAAAATTACTTTTTTAATAGCTCTTTCATTTATAAGAGGCCCTTGTGTGACATTTGGTTGCATACCATTTCCGGTAACCAATTTCGCCATTGCATGCTTAACTTCTTCAACAAAAGAATCATAAATCGAAGAATGAACATAAAAACGATTTGGAGATATACATGTCTGTCCTGAACCTCGGAATTTCGATGCTATCGCTCCCTGAAGGTTTGAATTTGAAATTAGCTTATATTTATATCGTTTATGTTTTTGTGAGCAAAATTATGTTGCATGATTAGTGCAGTTTCTATTATACAAGCGAAAATGATCTCATCCTGCATTTTTCAAACATAAAAATAAGTACTTTGTGTTTGTAAAAATATACGCAACGAAAAGAAACAAAAAAATAACTATTGCACTGAGCAGTGGATGAGCTGTGAAAATTAACCCGATCTGCCTGAAAATTAACCCGATGAAATTAACCCGAAAAAGGCAAAAGCCTTTTTTAGGACTAGCCTTATTTAAAATTAATATGTGAAAAGTTCCCATTAATTTTAAATGAATAAAAGCAAACCTGAACTGCTGTTGAGAGATGAGCCGAAGGAAACACAATAAACGGTGCGTTACCACCTAGTTCAAGACATACTCGTTTCACCGTGCAAGCTGACTGTGAAAGCAAAAGCTGCAAATGGATAAAGCTAAACGAACAGTGATTGTGATAAGGATAAGAAATTATGATCATAAAGTTTTAACAAGCATTTATGGGCCGTAATAACAGGTTGTGAAACGCTTAGATCGCTTTGGTGCAAGTTTCAATCAAATAAATGATCGATATGCGATAATCTGAACGAGAAAATATTTACGTAAAAGATTTTAAGTATCAAAAGAAGGAAAAAGTTGGCTTACCTTTCCTACTTCAGTGCTGCCTGTAAATGAAATTGCGTTGATGTCGGTTGATTCACATAAAAACTTCACTATTCGTACCGTATTCTTCAAATCAGCTGGGACAACATTGAAGACACCGTCTGGAAGACCAGCTTCCTTAGCCGTCTGAAACCTACAATATGCTGGGCATTGTTTCAAAGATCTCAGTCTTAAAGTTCACTATTAAGTGAGCAAAAAACTTATAAACCTATCGAAAATATCACCTTCACCATAATGACATTCGTAATTATTGCATATAATAAATCACTGTCATTCTCTCTAATCACTGCTTATTTCTAATTTTATCAACAGAGAACGAATATTGGAGATGAAAAACTACAAAGAAAAATAAAATAACCTGTGCAAGAGCTAAGGCTGAAAGTGGTGTATCTTCGGCAGGTTTCACAACTACTGTGCAACCAATTGCTAGTGCTGCTGCAGCTTTTCGAGTAATCATTGCCGATGGGAAGTTCCACTACAGGAAATGATATTGTGAAAAAAATCTATCTGATCAGGATGACTTTTTCTAATTAGATAATTTAATCACTCCAACTGGGACTTTATAAAACGTTTACAGTGAGAAAAAGTCCATTAATTTGGGAAGATCGTAATCTAAAAAACTGAATAAAATGTTTACAGGTGTAATAATTCCAACGACGCCAATCGGTTCACGAGCGTGAAAATGTACTCGATGTGTCGATATAGGCTTTACAATCTGCCCATATACTCGTCGGGCTTCCTCGGCAAACCACTTCAGAAATGATGCTGAATAAACAATTTCACCGCGAGCTTCTTCTAGTGGTTTACCCTGAAAGGTACTAAATCAGTCCATTTTTCTTAATCAGTCAGGGAAGAATGATTTTTAAAGAAAGGTGGAATATAAATAGCAATGAAAAAACTGAAAAATGTAAAAGATCAAAAGAAAATGAAAAAATGAAGTAACATAGAAATCAACAAATATACTTCTTCAAGGGTAATAAGTTCGGCTAACTCATTCTGCTTTTCCAACATTTTGCGGTGCCAGTTGTCTAGTATTGTACCACGTTCTTTAGCGGTTGTAGACGATGACCATGCGCTGTAGGCTTCCCGTGCTGCTTTCACAGACTTCAATTTTCAAATCATAGATTTCAAGCATTAGATTCATTATACTATTAAAAGTCTCCATCACTAAATCACATTTGTTTATTTAGTCGTTGTATAACTTACTTTTTCTGCATCGATTGCATCACAATTGGTACATCTACATATGAGCTCATTATTGTATGGATTTACTACTTGAAAAGTGGAGTTTGATAATGCATTAATCCATCGTCCTATAAATAAACCATTCAGTCATTTAGCTGATACTTCCCGGAATATTTCTACTTTACCCGACCAAAAACTAATAATCTAACTTGATGTTCCTAATATATTTTTTGATGTTTGTTAATAATTACAGAATAGTTCGGACTGATCGAAGAACTCTTGTAAGAAAAACATTTTTATTCCATTTTTTCTCTGATTTTTCAACTGTTTTTTTTTTTTTTTTTTGCAACGATATACTTCATTTTTCTGTATCAGTCATGCACTGCAAAAGAAAAAGAATACTTTATTAACAATACCGTTAATAAAGGCCTTTGCACCTTCAGGTAGAAGCGATGTCCGATAGTACCGTACGTCAAGAAATGAATGTATTATACATCGACTAAACAAATGCGTCGTCCTTCCATTCATTCCACTGAACAATTATCACCAATCATTAAAATGAAAGAGATTTCCAGGGATTACAACTACCATAGACATGATTATCATCATCACTGTCATGCTAGCAATTATTAGTAATATCACAATTATCGTATTCGATATAATCATGCCATTATCCGCTTTTAGTTGCTTTTTTTTTTTTTTTTTTTGTAAAGTTTAAGGAGGGATAAACAACGGAGAAAGAAAATTCCATTTAACGATCTGTACCAGATACGCTTTCATTTAAGGCACTTGAGCGACTTGATTTAATTAGAAATTGCAAACGACCGTTTAAAAATCAATTAATTAATTAATAACATTATAGAATTACACAGAACAGCTGTTATTAAGAAAGGATGGGAGAAGCTTTTGTCATCTTTCATCACAGTGCATGGTTTTAGTTTAAAGATCACTGAGAGCTAATAATATTCATATCTGTACATTAGGTATTCCACGTCATTAATCTCGAACATTCCTTTATCTCAAGCTGTTGTGTTCATTCTCGAAATGAGTTAGCGGTCAAATGTCCTTATTATCTGAGCTACTGTGATTCACAGCAGAGAAACTGCTTGCACTGTGAGAACGACAAAAGGTCAAGTGGGGTTCACTGCACTAAAGGACCGATAGATAAACGACCACGGGATTCAAGGAACGGTCTGACTCGTGACCCGACGTGACTCACATGAATTTTTATATGTCAGAATTTTTGGCTGCAGCACTTCAAATAGAAAGAAAAACGAGCGGGAGTTTGTTCACTGGGCGGCAACAAGGCTTTGGGTTTGGCGTAGTTACGTAGTTTCCGTCACGTGGTTTAAGTTTAGTGGTAGGGTCTTTGTGTTGTGACGGACGTCTCTTGTTGATATGCAGGACAGAAAGTGAGTGTCACTCGAACAACTCTCAGTGTCATTTGTCTGTTCTAATTATTGCTTAATTGGTTGAACTCAAGCATTTCACAGTATTCAGAAGCATTCCTTACTACTAAGTCATTTGGTACCCTTTTCGAAGCATTAATTAAACAGGTATGACAGGATGCGTAATCTGAAATGTATCCTTTGTTTACCGAATGTATAATTATTTATTGATAGCTACAACTGTTATCGAGACTGTCGTTTTGTCCCTCATAGCATTAATTTCTAATCTTTATCATTTCTTCCTTCAACAAAAATGCATAGCTGTTGCAAACCTTTTTATTGGTTAACAAAATATACTAGCCTGTTGCTCAACTCGTTCTGCTCAAAATGAATCTGTTCTTTCCCTTGGTTTGTAATCTTTTTCATACCATTTATCTCATTATTTGGATAGCTTCAGGCTTCATTAATGGAATGTTATTCAAATCAAATAATTAGTTCTTTTAGTGCAGAACAATGGAAAATTTCGCTAATTCAGCAACTCATACTACGCAACTACCTGTTACACGAGTCAAAAAAATATTTAGACTCTGCTCGAACTGTACGAATATTTCAACTGAAGCCGTGCACCTTTTGACATTTGCAGCGGTGTGCTTTTTTTTTTTTTTTTTTTTTTTTTTTTTTTTTTTTGAAAGTGAGATCAAGGATTTCTCATTTTAACGTTTGAAATAATGACATTTCTTTAACTTTATTCATCTTTCCCTTTTTAATAAATTTCACTTGTATTTTCCTAAAAATTTCAGGAACGCTTCATTGGCTTGCTGGCAAAAGTAGCATATGGACAGGCAGTTTTTGACAAACGAAAAACTCTTCAGCTAAAAGATCTTGGTAATACCTTGCTAAATTTAATACTTTTTGCATTTTTCTGATTTTAATACACTTGGAGAGGTTTTGTAGGCTACCCTAGAAGTTAAATGAATGAGATTCAAAGAGGAAATTTTTTAGGTAGGGGTTTCGTTTGGTCATTGTGGAACAGGACTTTCTTTTCAGAATTTTGTGTGAAGAATTACGAACCATTTAGTTTTCTGGATGGCACACTGGACGGATGGCCGGAAATTAGCGGAGGAAAACGTGGTTTTGGCAATGGATCAAGCGGCGTTGTGACTACAGGAATATCAGAGAGATTTTTTCCTCTTAATGCAGATGAAAAACAAGAAGACTTGAATGTTGATATTAATGACTCAAATGAAATATTTGGTTTCGATGATTCGTTAGAAGAAAGCGAACCTCCACTCGATGACCAGATTGCTGAAAAGCTAGATAGCGCTGTAACTGCGGAGAAAACAGAAATGGTTGATGTTATTTCAGAAATCCAAAGCCCTAAGCAAGCAGTTTTTGGCCACTACGGTTATTATCTCCCGATGAATTCAACTGTTGCTACGCTAACTCAAACTGCCAATATTGAAGTAGGGGTTGATATGAAGCATAATAAACAGAAAGAAGAGGAAATGGAAATTGATACATCTACACAGTATGATTCTCTGAATAGGACTGGATTTGAAATGGCAACCGATACAGTCGAAGTCCCGTCGAATATTTAACCTTATAATAATCAAATAGATATTACCAGGTTATATCATGTATTATTAATCAGTGAGCAGGATCATCCAAAAAGACTTAATTTATCTTACACAGAAAAAGTCAGTGTATACCTTACTACGGCACTAAGGATAGTTCTCAACTTTCACTGGAAATGTATCGTTAAACAGCTGATCACTGCTCTGTATTATATATTGATTTAGCTTCCTTAGCAGTTAACTATGGCCTTTTCTAAATGCAGTTTCTCGAAACTTTATATGTGCTCATTATATGTTTTGCTAGAACAGTTTTTTATTAGATGTCCGTTAGGCTATAGGTTAACAACGGACATCTGGCTTCTTTCGCTCTGCATATGCATAAAACTGCTAGTAGCATCGTCGTTTGCTCTTTAGTTCAAATGTGTTTTCATGTTTTGTTCTCCCTATCTGTTCATTTGACTACTTGAACTTTTTAAATTGACTTGAAATTGCATTATCACAGACAGTTTGAAGTAGTTTTTATGATTTTCTTGAATCTTTCACACAAATATTTCAAATTGCTTTATTGAAATGTTGCACTTAGGCTTTTCTCTTATTTAATGGTTTAAAAAGTTGCGAAAATAACAAAGCTTTTTCCATGCTGCCTTCAAATTTCAATTTTCCAGATGTGACTGCTATCGTCAGTGGCATTTCACCACTGAATAGTTTGTACAACGTTTGTAGATCTATTGTGAAATGCACATCCACATGTTGAGTATTATCTAATGACTTATGAATACCACCTTGTCCATTCTTTAGATTGAAATATATGCTATGAATTTTTGGACCTAGAAATGAAACAGTTATTTTCAGAAAATGAATGATAATTTCTGGAAAAAATGGTAGCTGAATAACCAACATGGAAACAAAGTCAGATTAAGTGAACCGTTCTGATTTGCCAAATTCCATCTATTATATTAAACCCAATTTGAAAAGTTCTCGTCGATAATATATCAGAGGCATTCCACAGCTTTTGAAATCAAGAAGAAAAGGATGGTGGGGAACTTCACTGAAGTTAGCAAGGTGAGAGGTAGGGTACAAATTTTTAAAGCATCATGTAGGAAAGATAAGATCGATAACTTTTGACTGCTTACCTTCTATCACATCGAATTGGTAGATAGCTTGGATTTTCTGTACTATGTCTGGAGTGATGCGTTGTTTAGTTTCATCTATCAACACATCCAAGGACAAAATTGAGGTAGCTGTTCCAAAATTTGCTGTTTCAGCAACATCAGAAAGAAAGAAGTCTTCTAATAATGTCGCTCCTAGATATAGTGACTTCCAAGATTCGAGATCATTTTGGAAATTAAAGTGAAAAATTTTCTTTGCAGTATTGTGACGAAAATTTAGGCTTGGCTGAAGAATATGTGGTCGAGACGTATCGACCAATTAATTAAGATAATCATTAGACTAACTGTTTGTATTTTGCCACATGCAGTGTATAAAATTACATATAATTACCTGGATTAACGGAATATTGATCAAAATCCTTCATTCCTTCTTCCCGTAAAATCTCTTCATCGATAACAAAATTTCCGGTGTAATTAGTGCTATCACGAGAAAGTAACGCATATGCAGCATCTGCCATAATTGTTGGCTTACGACAATTCTGTAAAATTGGCTAATGTAGCTGATATCAAAATATATGAATGAATAAGATTTATGCTATTCCGAAATTCATGACAAGATTGTATTCCCAGCAAAAATCTTGATCTCTTCTCCAGGCAAATTTTTATGAGAACGATTTCATTTCTGCTTATAATTTACAACAAATGTTGAGAATGTTCAAATTTTATTAATGTTTTTCTTGTTATTATTTCTATTTTTAACTTTTTAATGCTTCTTGTCCCACTCATTTATTTGCCTTTTAACAGAGTAAAGGAATTTTCCAGAAAGAAGAAGTAAAGAGGAACATTTTGAGCAGCTTTGGTCGAAATCATTTCCATCGCAACAGTCCAGATTGCTGTCCTTGGCCACAACGCATTCACAGCAATATTGAAATGTCGCAGCTCTTCGTGCATTCCCAACACACACATTGACATGCCATACTTGGCCATCGTATACGCTAAATGCAGATTGTATGAGTCACACAGATGACAATGACTGTCCTTCTCATCTTCTCATGTCCGTTCTGCTCTTTGCTTCATTTTCCCTGATACTATTAATAGCAGTGAACACATTTCAACGCTTACCCACGTGATTAGTAAACCAGTGTTTAGCCATATTTAGTGGTGGACTGATATTCAGAATGTGAGGATTTCTACCATTTTTCAAGAATGGGATGCATTTTTGGGACCTGTAAAGGTAACCTTATTCAATAAGGATGTGAATTTCAATTTCTTTTTTTTTTACATTTCGGACATTCTTTGAATGAGCAATTTCATTAAACTGATTTCTCTGGATTGTATCATACAGTAGTACATCGATATTGTTGCTAGACTGTGCACTTACATCAGGAAAGTTCCACGTGTATTGATCTGATGCATCAAATCAAATTTTTTCATTGTTGTTTGTAATGTCCCGGTAAGTGATATAGCACTAGCATTATTAATTAGAATATCGATTCCACCGAATTTTTCGACGGTTTCGGAGACTGCTTTTGTTACTGATTGCTCATCACGTACGTCAACTACGCATGCCAATCCTTTGCCACCTGCCTATAGTCAAAGTTACATCATTAAAACAAGTTGGAAAAAAAAAATTGTGCGAACGTAGGGAAGAAAGGTAAGCAACCGTAATAAGCAAATCATTATGAAGATCGGAGTCTAAGAACTTCAAATAATTGAACATGCGTGAGAAGGAACGTCAAATCAGAAGGTCGTGCTGCAGTTAGCCTCAATGTGCATTCAGAAGGTCATGCTGCAGTTAGCCTCAATGTGCATTCAGAAGGTCATGCTGCAGTTAGCCTCAATGTGCATTCAGAAGGTCATGCTGCAGTTAGCCTCAATGTGCATTCAGAAGGTCATGCTGCAGTTAGCCTTAATGTGCATTCAGAAGGTCATGCTGCAGTTAGCCTCAATGTGCATTCAGAAGGTCATGCTGCAGTTAGCCTTAATGTGCATTCAGAAGGTCATGCTGCAGTTAGCCTCAACTTCACGACCGTTTTCCTGATACAAAAAAAAAAAAAAAAAACAACCTTCTCAATGTCTTCGACAGCTGAATAGATTGTTCCTGGTAGTTTGGGATGTGGCTGGGCAGTTTTTGCAGCCACAACAATATTAGCACCATCTTTTGCTAACTTCAGGGCAATTTCCTTACCAATACCTCGAGAAGCCCCCGTAATGATCACTGTCCGTCCTGCAAACTTCCTGGAAATTCCACATTTCTTATTTAGCTTCAGTAGTTTCACATTCCTATTTTGCTATGTACAACTTCTAACTGTATTTTTTTTTGGATTGATTCACTTTTTAGGGAAAAAAATAATTATAAGCTGTTAGCTTTAGCAATTTTTCAATTTTTCGTTAGCAATTCGTAATTACCAGAAATGATTTTTTGAAATTTAATAGTAACTGAATTATTCAGAAAGAAGAAAAACATAACACAAAAATATGAGATAAATGCTGGTCAAGTTTTAGTACCAGGAGCAGTTCACTGTCTTTTAATCAGGGAAAAAAAAAAAAAAAAAGTTTATGAAAGTGTAATTGCAGCAAAAGTTAATATAATTTAATAATTGAATCAAGCTGAAAAAGGAAGAAAACAAACAAACCCAGTTGTAATCATCGTTTTTCAACCTAAGGAGAAGCGATCTTGATCACTTCCCACCTCTAACTAATCCTGAAAATTTTATAGATTTGAGGACGGAACCGTTTTATCAGCGAATAGACCTTCTTCATCAATAAGGGAATCAAATCAAAATAGTGGTGAAAATATGAGGAAGCACAGTTGCATCGAAGTAATGGCGCATATTGACATCAGAGAATTGCGGAAATGTCATAATAATTTCATTCTTCTTCATTATTCTTCACAAATGAAAGTTTTTGGACGGATAAAAGGGACTTTCCTCTCATTCATTCAGCATTTTGATGCAATTCTCATCGATGAAAAATAGTATTTCCATTGATAAAGTACTAAAATGCTACTACTTATAATTTTTATGACTAAAACTTCTATCCATCCATGTAATAAAAAGATTACAAATCAGCCAATCATTTGAAATGTTTACAACACATGAATTAAAAGTGAACTGTAGACGTATTTTTGTGCACCAAGTTGACATGATAAGCCTTATCATTGTAGAAGACAGCTTCTTCAGTTGATTAGCTGATCAGAAGTTAAAACGAACTTATGCTGCAGTGATTCAAATGGATTCACTACTCAAGGATGTTATACATTTTTCAGCAAGATGCTACATCTAACCGACTTATATGAAAGACACAGTACTACTACTTCTCTATGTGATAATAAAGATTGAAATGAAATCATTCCCGCCACCAATATGGACAGTTGTTAAAAATTAAGCATCATCGAATTTAGGCTTCTCATTACTGAATGCAGCAGCGCTTGCGTGGAACAAATCATCGGATTGGAGCTGTGATTGGTTCCATGTGCGGATAAACTGGATCGAGTCGTCGATAGTATGATCTCGAGAATAGTTCATTGCTAGTTTGGTACCTTGAACAGCAATGGGACTTTTCGTGGCGATAATATCAGCTAGCGACAAAGCCGCTATTAGGCATTCTTCGGTGCCATCGAATTGCCGGGATATGAAACCTAAATGCTTACTCATTTGATTCACATAACAACAAAAATATATTATAGGAATAATGATACCTTACAAAAAGTTTCATCGGCACTAATTGTCACTTTACAGTTCCAAGTTGACACTTCTTCAAAGATTCACTATCTGTGTTAAAATTTTCATTATAGTTCGCACACACTGTTACCGTTAAGTAAATGGATTGCAAATAAAACCAGTGCATACATTTTCCTATTGAATAATAATTTGATAGCATAATTCTTTATCTCGAACAGATTGTTCGTAAGTATGATGACTTCAAACTTTTTAAATTTGAACCTTAAAGTTTGAAGCATTTAGTTTCTGACGATTGTTTCTTGCTTAATTCTAAAAATATACAGAAAAATAGATAGGAAAAGCTGTCAAAAATGCTTGAAATGATTGATTTTCTTTAAGTTCTCTGTTGCAAACAATCTAAGATAAAAAAAGACTCGAGAAATCTTTGTATTTCTGGAATTGACCAAAACCGAACTTTATTGGTTATTTTCTGAATTTCGATCCATAACTGATCAGATATAATGCGGTGTTATAACTGATAATTAAGTCCAATAGTTTCACTACTTCAGAAACAAAGCCATCGCATGCTACATGCAATCAGAACTTCTAACTGATGCAGTAATTTTCCGGTTCTTTCATTCCTGTTGTTTTACTACAAGTAACCTATATGGTAGTTAACTGACTGAAATTTGGAACTAGCAAAGTGTTAAACAAGGGAAGCTTATGACTTTTTACAAAGTTATGCGTCGTTTAAAACTTTTTTTTTATTTCAAGAATGAAAAAAAAAAAAACTAACCATATTGCAATGCCTCGGAACTATTAAAATCACGAGCTGTATAAGCAAATTCACGGGTCAAACTGTCATTCCCAACGAGTTTATTGATTCGATTTAAAATACCGACATCTGCAGCTAAGCCAATATCCACCTCCTGAATTTTACCTTTAATTTACCTTTTCTTACCTTACTCTCTCTTACCTTACTCTGGACAACTAACTAACTTTCACAGAGAAGACTGCATCCTTTGAAGCATAGCGTATGTCAGCCGCTGCTGCGAGACTGATTCCCGCCCCGATACAGTGACCGTGAATCGCGGCGATCACCGGTTTTGGACATTTCTCCAACGATGTGAAGCTATCTTGACATGTAGCTATCAGCTCACGAAGTTTCAGCGACTTACGACCAGTGTCCAACGTGTTGTTCCGGATAATAGCCGCAAGTTGCTGGAAATTGTTGAAGGAATAAAATTTCCATTCTTTCTACATTTTCAAAATGCATATGTTAAATATGGCAAGAAATTGCAGTCATACAGGAAAGATAATGAAAACTAAAAATTGGAACAATTAAAAGAACAGACGTCAGATCCAGCTTTGATATTGATTCCGGCACAAAACGATTTTCCGACTGCAGACAGTACAATTGAACGACACTTAGAATTGATTGCTAAATGGTCGAAAACACTTCGAAGTTCTCTAAAATATGAAAGTCAATTATTTTTGCTGCTCAATAATGCGAAAACAGAAATATATTTTAAAATAAAAATTGAATTTTTAGCACTCTAAAATATATCAGTGAACCTCCAAAATGGGAGAGTGAAAGCGTTCCTTATTTCAGGTCGATTTAATTTAACATTGAAAACGTGTTCGCTGTGTTGAATGACCTCGATAAAATCCAAACCAGAAAACGTCGATAGTGTAAACTTCCTTGTATTCCGGAAATTTGAAAATTGTTGTAAAACAGATATCTTTTTGTTCATCTAACTGGAAAAATTGATTTCAAAGCTATTTGATAGAATTAACAAACAAAAGTAAGCCTTTCTGATCTGTGAGATAGAAATCGGATCTAACATCCAGAAAACCAGAAATCAGCGCCATAATGAGATGAACGGATAGAACAAGCAGTAAAAATGAACGATTTTCATTTCGCAGATAAATTTGGATAATTAAATTCTGCAATAAAAACAAAAAGGACCGTCCTGGCTACAATTTCTTCACAGTGTACGGACTATATTGCGGGACAAATGACATATCATTAAATCGCGGGTACAAGAAGATTTTGGACTTTGTACCGTGGTCGATCGTAGTTGCCAATAGCAGTGAATTTCATATGGGAAGAGAGGGTAAAGGATGGGCTGATGGGCTGGGGAGAAGTACCTGGGATGATAGGGTATCAGCAGAGAAGGGACTGGTATTGGGGAGAAGTACCTGTGATGATAGAGTATCAGCAGAGAAGGGACTGGTATTGGCGAGAAGTACCCGCGATGATAAGGTACCGGTAGAGAGGGGAGTGGTGTTGGGGAGAAGTACCCGGGATGATAAGGTACCATCAGTAAAGTCGTCTGATGGTATGTTAATGTTGCTGACCGATGACGGCGGCACATACCGGATGGAGTGTAGCAACAGATGACACTGCTTTATGAATTGTCGAAATCGTCTATTGCCGGTTTTTCGGACCAAAGAAATAGATGACAGGCGAATTGTACTCTATCTAAACTATAGGCAATATTGTATAAATTGTGAATTTCAAGGAAATGCAATGCCGGTTTTAACTGTTTTCTGTGTTAGCTGTTCCGGATTTGTCTCATCCCAACAGACAGTTAGTTACAGCTTCAAAAAAAAGTTTTTTTCGGCTGATCTGAAAAGAATTTATTACTGGAAAATTTGGAATATGCGCGACGATAACTACTGACTTCACACCATTTGTTGTTAAACAGTGGACCGTAACCGGAGAAGAAAGAAGAAAATGATGAGAGGAAGTTGCTGGATGTGCAATATGGGAGTTGACGAGCTGATTCCAGAAAGCGTAGTGTATCGGAAGATTGCTGATCTCTTCAAGGACATCCCGGTGATACGGAAAGTTATGTTCAAAATTCGGAAGACTCAATTACAATTCATTCAAGTCACTTCATTTTGCATTAACATTTTCAATCAGAACTGTATATTCGTTTTACTATTTTCAGCTATTTCTAAGTTTCAAAAAGCAAACTGTCAAATCATTAGGTGAAATTTTATTCTGAAAAAGTCGACTACTTCCTATAATTCATTTTCAAATTTTATCCTACTCATCACGTCCATCAACAAGTAATCTACGCCTTATCAGAAGTAAGCTTTCCTATTGATCACTATTTAGAACATATCATTTGCACTCTTAAACGACGACCTCTTACTCAATTGACACTCCTTAATACTCGTCACTCGTTACCTTAGGATAACTTTTTGGACCTATGAAACTTTGCTTTCAATTTGAGCCTACTATTCTTGGTAACTAGAAATCTATCTGAAAGTATGCAGTATTCTCAAGTTCTAACCATCTGGATCACGAGAAAAATTAGCCCTTGGGATATTTATTTATTTTGTGAACTGTTAGTTAAACCAATACAAAAATTTCTGATTTATATGAAAGTAATAAAGCATACATGTACACGGTGACAACGCAAAGAGACAAATCATATTGTCAACATGATCAAATAAACATGACCAGATGTTTAAAGTGGTCATTGTGCAGTCAACTACGGAAACATGACAAAAAGCTGGTTTTGATCACATCTGTAATTGCAAAAATCATTAATAATGATGTTGGGTAAAGAACGTCACTAGGATAACAAAGGTAGCAATCAATTTGTAAAATCCACAAATAATTTTTCCAAGACAATCTTCCCTTTTAAGTTCGATCTATCTTGACAGATGATACAGGAGATGTATTCATGAGATGATGATATTGTTTTGCACACTGTCAGATAGATACAGTTAGATTATCAGTAGAAACAAGTCTATGAAGAAATTTTCAATATTTCACACTTTCGATAAGTGATAAGTACATAAATTATAAAAAGAGATTAAGATTGAAAATTTAAAATATATATCATAAAAATGAAAATGGTTGAACATTTGTTTGCAATTCAAATTCGTGAAAAAATAGCTTTGTGCAATTCAATATTTGAGTTATTTTTGGGTTTCATTTTTGATTCTGTATGAAGCAGTCACGAAATTAGTGTAAAACTTTGTTACTTGAGGTACTCTGGGAAAAAAAGTTTATATAGTTGTAGTATAACATTTCGGAAATGAGTGATGAGAAAATGGGAAAGGGTAGGAGCAGAGAACAGATATTTCAGAAAATCCTCGTAAATTTTCCGTCTCAAATTTCGACTTCTCAACAAAAACATATCTCTCTGGAATTTTGAATTATACTTAAAAGTTGCATCGTCGAGCAGAAAAGATACCTGAAGGAAAAAGAGGAAGAGATGAAATTCAACCCTGATCTTAGACTGAAAGATAAAACTGAAACATCTAATTGATAGGAGAAGCACCATAATTAATTCTGAACCATTATTAGCTCGGAAAACGGCTTTGGAAGTGAAACATACAGACTGGGAATAGCATATTTCCAGAAAAAGAAAAAACATTAGTTTAGTTTAAAAGTGTCAAAAAATTCATGGACAGTTGGTGGTTTTTCCTCTTTAGGTTCGTAATTATCTATGCTGCATTTCGAGCGAATCGAGATTTGCCACGAGCCAGCTCCTCTTGTATGTCTTCTACGCTGCGACCCTTCGTTTCCGGAACATACATCCAGGTGAAGAATGCGAAAAATGCCAGAAAACCAGAGAATATCAAAAAGGTGTACTGGTGTAACATTTGCTAAAAATTTTCAACTCGTTTGTGTGACATCGTAAATATAATCTACAGTAGGAGGACATTATATATCAAAAAATAATTCTTTGATACATAATGCATATTTCACTCTTAATATCTATCCTGGAACAATGACACAAAGTAATGTTAAGTATTAACAGATTTTGCGAATTGTCGAATATTCCTACGATTATTATCAAAGAAATAAAAAATAGAATTGTCGCTTACGTTAAGAAATTCGAATGATGTTCCGACGAGGAAATTTGCAGTCCAATTAGTTGCTGCGGCAACCGAATTTGCAGCACCACGTGCACCCGATGAGAAAAGTTCCGAGACGAAGAACCATGGAATGGAACCTTAAAAAAAGAAATAGCAGTAATGACGAGACTTTCAGTAATAATGAATGAGCATTCCGTATTTGCAAGAATCTGTAAGAAACAAAAGAAAGAAATAAAAGGCTTCCGAATGTTTTAATGCTGGAAAAATCTTACCTGGACCAGTCGCAAAGAAAATCACAAAGAGGAAAACGAATAAGCAAGCAGGATAAGATGCCCACTTATTGCCTGTTTGATCTGATGTCTGCAAAATGTTACTCGCTTTCATTTCTTGCTGCATAAATTTTATTCAAGAATTTCTATCATTAAAATACTCACGAAGAGGAAAAGGAACAAACAAGCGGAATAAGCTGCCCACTTGTTGCTTGTTTGATCTGATTCTATAAAAATACACTTACGTAGACTGAGATGAAGATTACAATAGCGATGGAAGCGAAGAACATTCCAATCAAACCAATCATAAGTAACATGACACGCCCGCATTTCGGATGGTCCACCTAAATTAGCAACATCTTTTTGAATGATAAAACCCAAAAGTCAAGTCAAAAAAGCTAAACTTGACAAAAGCCATGAAGAATTTCGAAAGTTTTCCGACAAATCTCTTTGGATCTCCGATAGTACATTTAAAGTTCATTACTTCTAATATTATTTCATGCCAACATTTAGGAACTTCGAATTAGTTCATTCTTCTAGTGCACCCTACTTATTTCAGAATTATTAAACCGTGCCTCTGCGATCACAGAGTAAAAATTTTTTTTTGTAAAACTCAATAATGTACTCTGAGAATAGTGAAGGGAAACTGACCAAATAAACAGAAATAACAGTCATGAGGACGTTAATTAAACCCATCACCAGTGTAGCATACACGGCTTTATCACCCAGTCCAGCACCTTCGAAAATCATTGTGGAGAAAAACATGGCGACATTGATACCAGAAAACTGTTGCGCTAACATCATCAAAATTCCAATAATCATGGGCCAAAGTAGATTACCACGAAACAAATCGAAGATACCCATCTTGGGAACAGCGTTTATCTTAGCTTGCTCTTCTTTCATCATGTCAATTTCAGCTTTCACCTGAAAAGTTCATCATAACCCAGTTCTCTTTTCTTAAATATACTATATACATTTAAAAGACAATTCCAAATTAATAATACTAACCTTGCGACAGTAACAATTCTTGTCAAAAACTTTTCACAATCCTGAAATACAAAAAAATCTTGGAAAAAACATTACGTTGTCCTTTCCTCGTAACTTTTTCAGATCCTCTTCAGCTTGTTCGGCGCGATTTTTTACAATCAAACTGTATTTTGGCGATTCCGGAATCATTGGCAGCGTAGCTATTTGGAAAACCACTGGTACCACGGTAAATCCTGCAGTACTTCGAAACTGGGTAGCTGACTGATAAGCTTATAAGTAAACATAAGCTTATGCAGAGTTTATGTATCAATCAAAAAATAATCAATTACGACCAAATCTTTTTTCTTCTACTTTCTTATAACAACAAAATGAACAAACAGCATATTTTACGGAAGAAAAAAATCGAAACTAAAACTCACCAAAAACCATGGGCCACAATTTCGCTGATCCAAGAATTTGTGGTAAACCGATAATCTGCGAGAATAAAATGCCGATAGTGACTAAAAGTTGCGCGACACTACCTAGCGAACCACGTAAATTGACTGGTGATATCTCGGTAAGATACATTGGTACTAAACCTGAGCTTAAACCTGAAATCATACAAAGAAGTACGTAATTAACGGTTTCATAAATTGGCAACAGTTCCGCGATGCATTTAAAAAAAAAAAAAAAAAAAAAAAAAAACAAAATTATTTGTCAATATATCAATATCACCAATGCTATTAGCTGTTGTTTTGTCAATAGTTAGATAAGCAAATGAAAAATAAATACAGATTATGAAGTATCGAAATGCTTACCAGAATTAATACCAATAACAAGACGTCCAACTATGAGTAACGGATACATATTAACATAATAAGCCAAAGTCATTAGTACAGCAGCCAAGACAGCCACAACATTATTAAATACCATAGCGCCCTTACGGCCTAACCAATCAGCCATTTTACCTGATCCCAACCCGCCAATCATACCACCCACAGCGAATATACCAACTGCTATGGCCCTGAAAGACTCCAACATGCCATTACAGTTAAAATACTATCTGGTAAAACCTCGAAATGTAAGGAATGAATGTTTGAATTTTAGTTAAATTTGTTCAAATCTGATTTCAACGTTTTTCTACCAAATTACAAAAACCTGCCATAATCTAACTATATAGCACCACTGTTTCTCGAATTCGAGTTTTTTCTCAGCAAAAAATGATTTATTTTCAGCGAGGAATAATTTATTAAAAATAATAATTATTATAATAATTAATAATAATAATGATATACCATTGAACTCTGCCAATTTCATCAAGCGATAATGTTTCGTCGAAAAGTTTCTTATGCGAGTCAATCATCCATAATTTGATTACCTGAAATTGCTCTCCGGACAAAAACCTATTTAAGCTTAAAGCAAATTGCAAATACGTGAAACGTAGACTAGAAAGTATTAAAAAACACTGCATACTTTTGCAGGAACATTGACACATCCGATATGATAACCGAATTGAAATGAACCACCAATTGCTGCCGATGCAACAGCCATTAGTAAAGACTGGGTCCATCCACCCTGAAAATTTCAATGGTTGTTGAGATTAGAAGATGAAATAACACCAAATTTTAATTTAGTTATATTTTGTTTAGTTTAATTTACTTTTCGTAGCAGTAGCAAAGAATAACCCTTAGGTTTATATGAAATGAATTCCATGATATTATCCTACCATAAATTTCACTTTTTCAACACCCAAAAAATTTTCTTCATTGTTAAAAAAAAAATGAAAATTTCATCTCAAACTTTAGAATAACATAAAAATTTGATAATGTGAGAAAAATTTTTTGCACAATTCTATACCATACATTTTGTATAGATAAAAAGATGTGAGTGCCCCGGATGCCTTCAAGAAAATCAGTATATTTCTCTCTTTCCACAGATAAGTAAAAAAAAAAAAAAAAAAAAAAAAAAAAAAAAAAAAAAAAAACAAAACAAAAAAACAAAAGAGAGATGCGTGCTTTACACGTATGATTGAAGTGAAAAGGATAATCGAGAGTAATACATACTTCAATTGCTTGTTGACTTTTCCCCAGCATCTTCAGTTCAATTTGAAAGTGATTTGTCAAAAGTTTTGTACAGCAAGATAGTATCCTTTGCTATAAATGCTAGCACCAAAAGCAGAAAAGTATCAGATTATCAGAAGGATTATTCGGAACAGGAGATGTTGTTGTTGTTGACAAACTGATTTACACTTAGGCTTCTTATTTTCGTCTGCAGCTCAGGAACTGATTCAGTAACACGTTATCACGTGTGACAAACTATTACAGTCAGAGAATTTGATTTAAAGCTCTTGCAGCAAATACTAAATTGCAAAATGCAAACGCAACTAAATTGCAAAACATGCAAAGGTTCACAAATTTTGCCTTTTCTAAGTTTTCCATGTTCTTTACTTGAAATTTGACCGATCCAAACTTAATCTTACACTATGTTTAAAACAGTTTAGCTACAATACCTAGATCTTACATATTTCACTGAAAAAAAAAATGATAATTAAGTAATGAGTGAGTCTTGATTTCTGTAGACGAAGTATTCAAGTAATAATTCATATATAAATAGAACTTTGCTAATACTATATGAATTATGAAGACAAATCTTTGCAGTGACATTACTGTTAACGAAAAAGAAAGCAGAAAAGATAAAACTGAGGAAATGATGAAAAAAGGAAGCAATAAAAAAGCTATAATTCGACCACAAAACCATAAAATTACTTTTGCAATTTCTGAAAACATAAATACAAATGTTGACGAATGCTGCATCATATTTTAATAAATATTGATGAAGTAAAGGAAGAAGATTAGTTGTAAACTATTAGTTGCTGTTAACAGTGTGACCGTAACGATCAATGATTATGAGAAGAGCAATCAGAAATATCAACACAACTTCGTTTTGCTCCCTTCATTTTTGCAATTTGATTGCTCTTTTCTAATCTGCATGAAGTCAACAACTCACTCAAGTGGGTCCATACAATTAGCTGGATTTGATAGGAATATCTGTTATCTATTATCACTTATCAATGCTAACTCAAAGCTTAGAATGATTGGCGAACATGCAGCCGAGCATCAACTCAAAGGGACAATTTTTATGATAAGCAACAGAAACAACACAAAAGTGTACAATTTATAGCATTCAATGATCTTTTATGACATTTCACTATGCAAAATCTTTGTTCGTTTTGTTTTATCAGTTTTGGAATTCATTGTGCGAAATTAAAAGCATATTTGTTAAAGTATATGAAAAATTGCAAATGATAAAGATTAGAAACTAAAGCAAATGATAAAGATTAGAAACTAAAGCAAATGATAACGATTAGAAACTAAAGCAAATGATAACGATTAGAAACTAAAGCAAATGATAACGATTAGAAACTAAAGCAAATGATAAAGATTAGAAACTAAAGCAAATGATAACGATTAGAAACTAAAGCAAATGATAACGATTAGAAACTAAAGCAAATGATAACGATTAGAAACTAAAGCAAATGATAACGATTAGAAACTAAAGCAAATGATAACGATTAGAAACTAAAGCAAATGATAAAGATTAGAAACTAAAGCAAATGATAACGATTAGAAACTAAAACAAATGATAAAGATTAGAAACTAAAGCAAATGATAACGATTAGAAACTAAAGCAAATGATAAAGATTAGAAACTAAAGCAAATGATAACGATTAGAAACTAAAGCAAATGATAAAGATTAGAAACTAAAGCAAATGATAACGATTAGAAACTAAAGCAAATGATAAAGATTAGAAACTAAAGCAAATGATAACGATTAGAAACTAAAGCAAATGATAACGATTAGAAACTAAAGCAAATGATAAAGATTAGAAACTAAAGCAAATGATAACGATTAGAAAACTAAAACACTCAGTTAAGATTTTTCATAAAGAGTGTGTGTGTGTGATGCCAGATGAATGAAAAGTCAAGCTCAGTTCCAGTGAAATGAAATTAATTATAATTGAGATGAGTGTGGAGCAAGCATGGGAAAAAAGAACTGAAATGTTTAGCACCACTGATAACTTGGTTGCTGCTTTGATCATAAAAATTGACAAATTTATAGGAAACATATAAAAGATGAAACACTGAAGAAATAATAGTGAGAGAAGAAAGGAAGAATACAAGATTTCTATCGATATATAGAAGACATCAAATTTGAGAAATGAAAACTTTGCTTAAATTGCTGTGGAACAGTGGGAGTAATGACCCGTACACTACATCATTCTCATCGACAATAATAAAGACACTATGACGAAGTGCAGAGCATCACAAATAATACTGTGATATCCACTGATATCTGTCACATCGATAAGGTCACTTCCTCGGGCTTTCACGAGTCAAATGTCATTCATCAGTGGCCGACGGGACAACACCCAATCACATCAAATTTATCGCCTTATCACTGCTTGCTCATCTTACCTGATTGCAGAACCATACAACTGACAAGAAACTTTTAGAAGGCATGCAATTTGCAATATAATATGATCATTTGGTTATACCCCAATACAACAGTAATTCGTTGCCAGAAATTTAGATTAAATAATCTATTCTTTTGGTAGTTTTTATTTCAAAGTACTTGAGAAAAAAAAAAGACAATGTCATTTCCGACAGATCACCATAAACAGTATAATGCAGAGTGTGAGAAATAATACTAATGAAATTAAAATTAGTTAGTACGGCAAGAATTAGAATTTCTCGAGGATCAAGAATCACTGTAATCTGTGTTAAGGACTTATTTGCTTTTATTTTTGTTTTTGTGGGCAAAAGAAAATGTTTCCTCCTTCTTAGCACACCCAACAAAAGAGTGAAGGTTAAAACAAAGCGGCAAGCTACCCACCCAACTGCATCGCAATTGTTCCCTCCCATCCATCTATCAGCTGTAATTTTCATCGATGCTTGAAATTTAGGCAACACTTTATGGAAACTGAATAAGATGAGTGGCATATGACTGCTAGAAAAGCTACGAAATTAATCAAATATCACAGTAATGACAATGACAGACTAATCACCCATCCCAGTAATGATTCATGTTAAGTGGGCAAAGGTTTCTGAATCTGAATCTCATCGAAATATGAGCAATTTAGAGTTATCAAGTTGAAAAGCAAAACTAACAAAAGAGTATTCGTAGTAAATTCTAATTAGAAAAACTGAAGATTATCTATAATGCATATGATATGATGGTCGAAATATGAAGTAACTACTGCTGCAGTGATGCATACATGAATCTTATGCTTAACAATCTCTCTTATCATCCATGAAAATTACAGTGCTGATATCACTTTTTTCCAAAAATCCTTACTACATTGTCCCTTATCAAATCACATTACATTAAACAAACCAAAATAATGCCTTTTCATTCTGTATGCTAATATTGCTATAGAAAGATGGATGATACCTGAAGCAAATTTATACACATAAAACCTATCTATCATTTTTCCCCTCATGATAAGTTGTAAAGTTTGTTCGTTTATAATTCTGAAAAAAAAAAAAAAAATTGGGAGAGTTTGGGGGTAGAAAGATGGAGGTAAAAATGAGAAATCATCTTTACCTCCTTTTAAAAATCATCCTTAAAGGGCAGAAGAAGGTATGCAAAAAGGAGTTGAAAATGACAACCTTTTATGAAAGTTACGAAGAAATGTTAGACAGAAATGTCCTTTTTTCCGTTTTCTACATGAAATGAATGGTCATAGAAATTTGCAACAAGCAAAAATTTATTTTGCAGAAAAGACTACCGATATCGATAGCTATCAGTAAAGCTATCAGTAGAAAGACTACCGATATCGATAGCTATCAGTAAAGCTACCAGTAGAAAGACTACTGATATCGATAGCTATCAGTAAAGCTATCAGTAGAAAGACTACCGATATCGATAGCTATCAGTAGAAAGACTACCGATATCGATAGCTATCAGTAAAGCTATCAGTAGAAAGACTACCGATATCGATAGCTATCAGTAAAGCTATCAGTAGAAAGACTACTGATATCGATAGCTATCAGTAAAGAGATTCATTCATTGTCAGAAGCAGTTTTCATATCTTTCTTTTTTCCGGCAATAAGTCAGGTCAGTCAGTCGCCTTCACCTACACCAGCCTTCACCTCTAGTAAGTAATGAAGACTGTCAACTGTCAGTGGTTGTAAGCCATATGGAAAAACTTTTCCTTTGCTAGCGGTGCAGTTATCATCCTTCAGCAAAAACACTTCGCTCCAACACAATGACAAATAATGGAATTCAAAGTGTAAAGTTGCATTTAAAATAAGTCGAGGAGTGCGAACAGTATCATAAAATAGGAGAGAGGATATTTAGGAGAAATAGAAAAAATGTACCTCTACACTTTCCTGATTAGCCATTTAATTTTGTTGTTAATGAGATGACCGTCTTCACTTGGCTCACACAGATTAAATTCCCAATAGGAACCAATAAGCAGAATAATTTGTAACAAATCGTTCTACAAGCGCAGTTGTTAACCGTCTAACAGCCGCTTCTCACGTTCATTCACACAGATTTACAGCAGCAGATAAAAGTTTACAATATAAATTATATGTTTTTGTTATAATTTCTGGAAAATATGCAACTTTGGAGTTCTTTTGATGTAAATGAAATCATTAATTAGATGCTGAATGCTTATTGTTCTACAAAGTTAATAGTTTAAATACTTGAAAATTTTTATTTCAAAGCCCCATTGAGAAAGTTAATACTTCTAAATCCTCACTGTAAACTTTTTTAATCCATGATTTCTCATCTAAAATTTTTAACAGTTATATGTGACTGAAAAGAATGGAAAATAGCAGAAACATGGAAAGATATACAGAAATAATTGGCTAAAAAAAGCAAACAGATTGTTTACAGAAAAATCTATTGGAATTGAAAATTACATTTTGAATGGAATTGAAAAATACATGGCAGAAATTGTGTTCACATTCAAGAAAGCACTGGCAGAGTAAAATTTTGCTTGCTTAACTCACTCAGTGAACTGAAGATGAAAGCATTGTTCGTTGAGAGAGCTAAGAAGAATAGCAAGAATAGATTAGTGAAAAGATTTAGTGCTTATCTATTTTCTTTAAGCATAAGCGGAACTACTTGCTTCTTTTTACTGAGTCATCAACAGATAATTATTGCTAGATGACTTTGTTTCATTCAAGAAAGATGATGACCAACAATTTCCAATTTTAGAGAAAAATATTATCTCTTTTTACTACTATTGGAAGAATGTTTTTTTGATAGCTCATCCAGTTTATTTTAATGATCTACAAATCCAATATATCGCACACTTATTTAACTATTCAGCAAATGCTCAATATCTTTCTTAAAGTTTATCCATTTCATTTTAACCAGAGCCCAAATCAAATTAGCTAAAAATTGCGGATTTTGTGGCTGGGCAATTCGCTCCTTGATGAGTTTTTCGGAAAGCAAGTTCCGACCAGTAAATTTGTGGCAAATTCCTCCTTTACCCACAACAAAAGGCTTTTGCATATTATCGTAAGAGTAAACAAGCTTTGGAACTTAAAGAATCTTTTTGTAGAAGAAATAGCCCAGAGCCACTTATCTGAAGCTTCATTTCACCGCAAACATGGGAACGAGTTACTAGCTGGATGATGGCGTGGGGAAATGTAGGGCAGATTGTCCAATGAAGAAAGTTACGTAGATATGATCCAAGAACAGAAAAGAACTGAAGTCTCTTTCCGGAATGCCACTTTTCCTAACGTCGGGGAGATGGAATCAAAAGATGGGTGACACGTGACAACAATTAACTATCTATTACATACCTACAAAAAAAAGCAATGTACTGCTGTAGCAGTAGTTTTTGTTAGTAAGTTTGTCCTCCTTCCTCTTTTACCGCTCCCTTTCCGGTTTTTATTGGTAGTTTCCCCTGTCAGCTTTTGTTGCTAAGCTCTGCCCTCTCACTCAAAGTAGTACCAAAGATCATCTTTTAATGGTAAACAAGCAGATAACCAATGCATTTAAACACAATATGTTAGTGCAAATGTTGATACAGCCATAATATATTATTCACTTTTGTATAGAAAATGGCACATGCACAATTCCATTTGTGTACGACAAATATTTGCGTGTTTTGCAAACGCTGCAAACTCGTTTGTAGGGATAGTAGTAGTAGTAAAAAGGATGTTGCGAGAATTACGAGGGAAGAGACAACACTTCCGAATACACACACAAAGAAATACAGTAAAATAAATAAGGCAAACAGGAGAGATCAATTTTAGAGGGAACGAATTACTTTGTTAAAATTAATTAGCAAACATTTGCATAATTAATAGATATGACCTGAAAATGAGAGAGGACATTTTCACCATCCATCAAATATAGTACAGACTAGAGCGAAACCTTAGCAAGACTTCACTGACCTTCATATCATCGTAGATCGGTTTACCGAGTGCTTTCGCTGCTTCCTCATGTTTCAGTAATCTTTCCTTTTCAGCAGCTTCCGATGACGGTGCTCTTCCTTTCTGCTCGTTACTTGCCATTACTCTGGGCAGGGAACAACTTAATTATGATCTGAAATGATTACAAAAACTAACATTCGGTTATAGTTTCAGGACGATTTTCAACGAAATGACTGAAAGAAAATTGGTATGCAAATGACACAAGAATAGATGGGTAAATCAATTTAAGCAAATAATATCGATTGATGTCATCGTGAGAAGAACTTCGCTGGCTTATATGCTCTCATAGTTAACTTGTAACTATTCCTACCCTCAAATTTACTGTTATGTTAGCGAGGTTAGTCCATCATAACATTCTTTTAAAGCTTTTCATACTTCCTTCCCTTTAATAAGTTTTGCTGGAAAGGAACAACTGACTCTCTCTCTCTCTCTCTCTTCTCGTCCTTTGCTATATTTATGGTGTCAGAATGGAAATGAGATGAAATGAGAGATTGCTACGTTCCTTTCTTTCAGACATCGGCGAGTGGACGAGAAAAAGAAGTGAGTGCTGTTTAAGGAGAGGGAATTATTCCCTGGCTAATGGGCATTTTAACCGCTAACTCATTTAACAAAACAGAATGTGTTCCAGTATGGGAGATGACAAGAAGCACCGATTCGTTGTCATCTCCTGTAACAAAGATGACACAGAGAGGGAGAGGGATTCTTCTGATGGGTTAATATTCCGATGTCTCTTTCAAGTAGAGTGACTCTATATGAAAGTACTTTAGAATAAATAAATGCATGTGCAAAGGATGAAAAGATTTCCGGAAAGGATCCGGACACACTGCATCTAGCATAGACAGACACAGATATGCACAGAAGATGGACAAAGATCAGTCTTCTGAGCAGTACAGATCGTTTTGTTCATCGTGCGAATGTCATTTCTAGAGAAAGTACGATGATGCTGAGAGGAGGATGGAGAAGTGAGGCGCAAAGTGCTTCTTCCACTTTCACTTGCACTTGCACTTGCACTTGCACTTCTATTTGCGTCTGCACTGATCTCACAGTATCACTGCTACTAATTCGATGATCAAACATTGCTTAACTGCTGATTACTGACACTGAAGCAAGTGCTCTGCATTCTTCATCTAATCCTAAGTTAGCAGACTAGCAGCAGTAGCAATAGCAGTAGCACTACAAGCAGATTACAGTTCTTCATGCAATGCTGCTTGCTGCCATTTCAAATGCGACACGTCGAATTCACTTGCACTGCAACTCAGCCTGCATAAAAAAGCAGAGAGATGGTTGATTGGATGTTGTGACGTGTGGTAAGGACGGAATAAGGAATAAGGAAGGTGAGAGAAGGCTAGCATATCTCTTCTAGATGATACCGATTCACCAGGAAGAGGTGAGGTGAGCAACAGAGACGGGCGCTGATGTATTGTTGTGCGCCATCTTAACAGGTGCTCAAAGAGAGGAGGCTCTTCTTTTATTGAGCCCACAAATTTGCTCGTTACAATAAGAGAAGCACAAGGAAAACAAAAGTTCATAGGACAGACTCATCAGTCATTCTCGACCACAAAATACCTTTAAATTACTTTAAAGAAAGGAAAGAAAACTTTCATTAAACCCATCCAATCATTAAACTTATACAACAAGCAATTCACATCTTTTCAAATGTTCACATAAATAATCCAGCAAAATTAATTAAATGTTAAGCATTTAAGCACTGGTACAATAATGAGTAATTTAACTCTCTCAGTCACATCTGCTGATTGCAGTTTAGCTGATAAACTACGACAAAATTGTGTCTCTCCTACAGAAATGCATGTCACATCGTTTCAAACCAATGTCACAAAGGGAAAAAAACGATTTGATGAAAAGCAATCAGAAGTGGAAGTGAACAATTCAAAATTATTAGCCTTATTAGAAATAACATAATAACGATACGATTTTATGCCAAATATTACATTCGAAATTTCTATGAAAGAATTTTGATTGAACGGTAATGAAGAGAGATGGAAAGATTAGAAGGGAAGAGTACAGGTAAGTACTGCTGAATTCACCTTACCCATCAGATATTTATTACACTACACTCCACCACAACACTGAAAATGATTGCAAATTTCGGAACAACACAAATCATTTCTCTTCAGAAATTTCAGGTAGGTAAAAGAAGAGGGAAATATAATTGTGATGGAACGCAGATGCAAAAGAATCTCTGAAATCTCTCATCAATTTTGATTCACCCAGTACAAAAGCGGAATGTCCGAAAGCAATAGCTAATCGGAGAGAAAACTTCTTTTAACAGAATTTACAATTTAGATGTCGCAAATACCACAATGTTACACAGTTGACAGTTTACATTGAGAACTTGCAACAAGATTTTAATAAAAACATCACTTTACTCTACTAACTTTCACTGAGCTGCTAATTCGATCGAAAAATCGGAAAGAACGAAATGAGTGGAAGCTGAAATGAATTTTAAAGTGGCTGAAAATGATTTAAAAATGATGAAATCAGTGGATCATTCTTCTGCATTCATTGCTCGGTCATCTCGGAATGAAATTTTTCCGGTGCTCTCTGACTGTCTCAGTAATCAACGACGGATTGAATTTCGAAAGATGACAGTAGAAGCAACAGAAATAAATAAACGTAAACAGGGTAAGAGGAGGAGGTCTTAGTTGAGAGTATGCATTTCAGTATCCGGTAAGTATTCTCTACCATCTCTTATTGCTATCGATTGGAGAATTTCCATCTCTTTAAAAGATTTTTGGAGACAGCAACAAACAGAGAGATGTTGAAATAATTAGCCAATCTCTTCAAGAACTAATTGTTTCCATTTGCTAAGTCCATAAAGCCATCCTATCATTGCTTCCATGAGGACATCACTGTCACCCTTACTTTTTTTTTATCAAAATTAGCCATTCAAATCTGATGCAATATATAGAGCTCCGTGCTACTGATATATTGATAAAGTTTCCTCCACTTCTTAATCTTATCTTCATCCTTTCATCCATACAATCAATCGAAGGTCGCTTCCAGTCACAGTTAAAGATCTTACTTTGTAAGATTCCTTGTCTCAAAAAGGCTATACTCAAATTAATTATCAAAAAATTTGGAGAATGATTAATGCAAAAAATTATGCAATGTGTTGAAATTTTGCAAAAATATGATAGCATTGAAATGTAAGCGTTAATGGTCAGATAGTATTTGCATACGCTATCACAAGCATTCTGTCATCAGCTAGGAATCATTATATTACCTTCGATTATAAACCTTGTGCCTTACCTACAGTTCGTGCTGCAGTATTGCCCAGATGAAAAGGAAACTTGAAATATGGAGCAAATTATACCACAACATTCAATGACAACAGTAGTGAATTAAATGTAATTAAAAAAAAACCGGAACTGTGCAGATGTGAATAACTGTGAGACAGTTCCGCTTTTCCGTTGTTCAGATCCCATCTTGTGATAAAAGGGGATTTTTCGAGCACATTAAGATCTAAGACAATATATATGTTTTGCAATGTGTTTCGAAAGTACTCAACCACTCCCATTCTCGTATCAATACAATAACTAAATCAAATCTTCTAGAAGTTTGAGATTTGTCTTATCTAAACTTTTCCGTACAGTGACATCCTCTGGTCGATCAATGCTAGTTGAATTACAACAAAATTAAGTTAATAATTAGCTGCAATGAAAAATTATAGCTAATCGAGTAGTAGATTTGGCTTCATGCTCACTTCAGAATTAGATTTGTACACAGCAGTGGTAGTGGTAGTGGTTGTAATAAAATAGCGATGACTCATGGAAGAAAGCAGTTAAGATGGGAGCTAGGAGAGGAGATGGATGATGCAACTTGTGCATGGAATCAGAAGGGATACTTGTATTATTATGACAGTTGGTGCTTTATAGGAGGAAGTTGCACCGTGTTTTCAAGGTTGTAGTAAAGGTGCAATTGAGAGTTCACTCCACTGTGACATCAAATTTAACGACATCGAAATGAGGCCATATTGTAGGTGTGATGAATGGATGTATTCATTACTGCATATTTAATGGCACACTTATATTCTGGTGACAATGCACATTTAGCATGTACACACCATGGTGCAGAGACCAGTTGTCACAGCAGAAGTTGATAGTTTAGCTGAGGTGTTCATAAATTTTGCTGAAAAAAAAAAAGAAAAAGCAGTTTTTTTTTTTCCAATTTTTAATAGATGATAACATTTTCTGAAGAAATTAATGGAATTAAAAATGAAGTACAAAGAAAAGGATGTAGAAATTGATGAAGCGATAAGTTAGCCTTTAAAGGCAAATGAAAAGTAATTGTAAGGACGGAAAGTGCAGTGCGTGCACGCATTAGATAACATTCCGCAATCAGAAATGATGAAAACAAATAAGGACGGATTCTATTTCTCCATGGAAGATGCAATTCCCTCGAACTCTTCCGCTCTTCCTAACGTACCGTGTGGCTGAGACACATGCAAGGAAGCACACAACATTTCATTCATTTCCAATGCTTTTTTCTTGGCATTCAAAGATGGCGCACGTCTTCTCAAAGATGAAAAATATTTCCAAAAATGAAAAGTGAAATGCCAAACTTAGAATATTTGGAAGAAACTGAAAATTCCTCGTCATTCTGTGATGATTCAAATATTGTCTTCGTCTGCTGATTTAATTTACTTGTTGGACAAATGAAAACGATAATAAAACAGCTTTTTTATTTTTAAAGAAATTTCACTATTTTAAAGAGAAATAGCAATTTCTTTGATAATCATTCGAATTGTCCATTTTTGGCCATAACACTAATCAATTTAAATGTAAAATATGCTTGCCAGCTTTGAAATATGATTTCGAGAAAAGTTTTAATTATAGATTACAGAAAAAAAAAAAAAACACAAAACACAAATACGAATCCATTCCTATGAAGCCAACATGACAGTTACTCTTTTGGCTTTCTCTTGTTGTCTTGTCGAGAAATGCATATAATTTTTGTTTATTCCTTCAACTAACAAATAATTTCTGCTTCAAATTATCAAATTCTTGCCATATCAAAAAATACTGTTTCAACAAAGAAACAAATAGTTGAAGAAAAGTTAC